CAAGAGACTGCCACAGCCCTACTCGCATCTATCATTGAAGACTCAGATGACGACCTATGTCGGATTGACCTTGCTATGGCTATGGACGAGATTACTGCTGAAACAGAAGCTCTCGAGCGCAGCTCGCTAGCTGAAGCTCGTCACCATCCCGATTGGCCACAATGGGAAAATGGAATAAGAGAGGAGTTAGCGACATTATGGGATGCAGGAACTTGGGAACTCATCGACTTACCCCCTGGTGCAAATGTCATAGGTTCAAAATGGGTGTTCCAGGCCAAGAAGGATGCCACAGGAAACATCGTGTGGCACAAGGCCAGACTTGTCACCCAGGGGTACTTGCAGGTTGAAGGTGTTGATTACTTCGATACGTTCGCACCAGTAGCAACACTTGCATCCATCCATGTTGTACTCGCAATGGCTGCTTGCTCCGATCTACAACTCCATCAGATAGATATCAAAGGAGCATACCTAAACAGCACACTCACCGACAATGAAGTCATTTACATGTGCCAGCCTCCTGGGTTCGAATCTGCCGATCACCCACACAAGGTCTGCTGCCTTCGCAAAACTTTGTACAGCCTAAAGCAAAGTGGCCGTCGCTGGTACCAGAGGCTAGTCGAGATATTAGTAGACAAGCTCGGGTTCACCCAGTGTTCTGTTGACCAAGCCGTGTACTTCCGACGTTGCAACACCGGCAAGCTCATAATCATCGTCCTACACATCAATGACTGCACTATCGCTGCCACACTTTCAAGCGAGATTGATGAGTTCAAAAGGGACATCAGAAAGTATGTCGAGATAACTGACCTTGGTGAGCTCCATTGGTTGCTCGGGATAGAGGTCACCAGAAACCAAGATGAACGCACTATCTCACTGTGCCAGTGTCCCTACATTGAATCGATCGTCCAACACTTCGGCTTTGATGAGTTAAAATCCATATCAAACCCCATGGAACCTAGCACAAAGCTGCACTCTGGTCAGTCACCCTCCACTGGTGCTGAATACACTGCGATGAAACACATACCGTATCACAAAGCCATTGGCTCACTGATGTATGCCTCCCTGGGTACCCATCCCAACATCTCATATGCCATGACCACTGTCTCCTGTTTCTCCGGAAATCCTGGGATTCCCCACTGGGAAGCAGTTAGAAGAATATATCATTACCTTCTTGGAACCAAGAATTTGAAGTTGACATATGGCAGGACACCCAACATGCTTGTAGGATATGCAGATGCAGACAGAAGTATGGCAGAAGACTGCAGAGCAGTCTCAGGGTACGCTTTCTTGATAGATGGTGGTGCCGTGTCATGGTCCTCAAAATGACAGGAAATTGTCTTGCTGTCAATGACTGAAAGTGAGTATGTGGCAGCCACCCATGCAGCCAAGGAAGCCTTATGGCTTCGGTCGCTCATTGGAGAGCTGTTTGGGCCACTCGCTGAACTGACCATGTTGTTCTCAGATAATCAATCAGCTATCGCACTCACCAAAGATCATCAATATCACACATGCACCAAACATATCGATATCCATTTCCACTTCATCCACTGGGTCGTTGAAAACGGCAAGATCCACTTAATCTACTGCCCCACCACCGATATGGTCGCCAACACCCTGACTAAAGCTTTACCATCGCCCAAGGTGAAGCACTTCGCTGTCAAACTCGGTCTACGTCCTACTTGAGGGGGAGTGTTAGATTTGGCAAGTCGCACGTAGCCTGTTCCGAACACATCTGCTCTGGGTCGTGAGAACTGGTTTCCGCTTTAGACCCTTTTCTTACTCAACACTATTACTGAACGCGCAAACTAACTCTCCGTGTCCTTATGTTTATTGTATTTACAGTGTCTTGCACTTATGTGTGAGTCCTCTTGTTATCCACAAAGACCATAGCGTGTCTCACAACGAGACAATACTTATTGTAAATGGGTTCAACACCCGGTGTTTCACTTCTATTGTTACATTACAGTATTTAGTTCTGCACTGTAGACCCCATCACCTCAGACATTGTTGCTGTCTGCGTGCGACTGAGGTGAGTACAATAACCTTCTGCTTACTTTACTATGCTTACCGCACACCTAGTTACTTGTATAGGTAAATATATACAGACATTGTCGCTGTCTGTGTGTGACTGAGTTACTTGTATAGATACTTCTGTGAGAGGCAAGTTAGTCTTTACATGTAGGGAAACCAACAAGCCTTTCTTTGAATGGTTTTGTTGAAGTTCAGTAAACTGAGGGATGAGTAGACTTTCACAAAGAGGTCAACAAGTCCCAAAAGCTGTGCAAGAGTTTTTTGATTTTGTTATGCCTAAGTGGAGTGACTTCATCAAATGGACTAGGCACAATCCATGTGAGGGGAATTCTACAGGCTGAACTTATCATAACCCCTATGGCTCAGTTACTGTGAAAGTCTTGCAGAGGTTCACTTCTTCTGGTGAGTTCTTTTGGGATCACACAGAGAAGAGAACAGGAGATGAAAGCAGAGGGATGAAGCTGAGTTGCAAGAAATCAGAAAACTGAGGATACTGTTGTTCCCAATGTGTAATGTACGGGACGCATGGGTTACCGGTGATTTTGCATCCTGAAGCTACCCGGTTCACCTCCCAACCCGTTTACCAATTCTGTTTGAATGGCCTCCATCAGCTGATCGGCTTTTTACGACCCCTGATCGGGTCTTGATCTACTGACGCGCCTTCTTTCTGGAAGAGGATAACCTCGTGGAAAAAGATGCCTGGCTATTTGATTTAGGCGCGGCACTATTCAATGATGCAAAATGGGTAGTCTCTAGAAAATGTACATGTAATCTAGGCAACCTAGCTATGGTCTGGACAAAGAACGATTAAACCTTATCTCTAGAGTTTATAATCCTATGCCGTCAACACAGGACATGCTAGAACAACATGATAAGGCCGTTCTGGAACGACTTGAAAAACATACACATGCTATGCGTGAGGCGGAGCTAATCCTCGAAGGGTATGGATTGAACTCTATGTTGGCCTTTGACAGCCTGGTTATAGATCTAGGGTTCATCGTTGCCAATGAGGAAACACGCGATGTCCTTAAGGAATGGAGATATTCCTGGATAACCGCAGCAGAACCCTGAAGGAATGATCTGGTTTCAAACCAATTTGAAAATCAAACCTTATTTTTGACAACCTGTGGGAGTCACAGGGATGGCTAAGTAGGCTATGGATGAGCCTTTAATCCTACTGGACAATAGCCAACTGCCTTCTCACGCGTGACAGTCTAAACTATATTTAGATATAGTAGTTATGTCACCTATGACACAATCATAGATAAGCGATGAGCCTGCCCTAAAGTCATTGGGCTACATATAAGGCTTGGATAGTCCACCGATGAGCTGCATTGTAGCGAAATTCCTCGGTGCTCAAGGTCAAGCACGAAAATTTGGGCTTTCCAACAGTGCAGTAATGTTTTTTCGTTTTATCCCTTCTGCTGGGGGTTGACTTGTAGCTCACTCAATAGTCCATCAGGTGGATCATTTGAGGGCTCTGGAAGAGCCCTTGCAGTTGTGGGAGAAGAGGAAAATACATGAATTGACAGTGGGGTTTTTGATTAGGTTTGAACCATGGTTGATGACAATGCAGGCAAACAAGGAGTTGTCAGTATTTCCCAGCATAGAGAATACATGATTCAGGGAAACAGTCGTACTTGACAGTGGTGATGGCTGCAAGGCATGCAATGTGTTTGAAGATGACATATTCAGAGTTGAGGTTGATTTTGTGACGGAATGCCCAATGCATCTGCTTGAATGCAGTTTGTGCAATCCTCCCCCTCACAAGTAAATTGAATGCTCGGATATTGTCCCTGTCGCTGTCAGAGAGGATGTCATTCCCTATCACAAAATTCAGTTACAACAGTTGATGAACCAGACATTTTTTACTTATGAATTTCAAAGAATTCATCCACAACCTTTCATTTCTCAGCACAATCTAGTGTATCCATAAGCTCCTCCATGCTCCAAAGCTCCTCATCCAAGTCTTGGTCCTCCACCCAATCCCAGGAACCAAACTCCTCATCTTGCTCAACTGAGGGCTCCACATGTGAGCCTAAGCTTGAGGATCTATCATCATTGTCATCAAAGGCATCTGGATCGGGACTTGATCAGTCTGGAATACTGTCATTGTTGTCTGACAAAGATATGCTGATCAGTTAGCTTGCTAGGTGGTTAGGCAAATACAAGAACATGAACCTGAAACCTTGGGTGCAGTAGCATCAGCCTCTGCATCCAAGTCTGACAAAATGCTCTCTGATGCTCGTATCTGCCCCACAAGGCCATTGTTTGCTAGGTCCCTGTAATGCCGGTGGCACTGCTTGAGGCTAAGTATTTTTCTGCACATTGGGAGACAATGACACCATTTGTGATAGTTTCAACCAGGATGAGTCTTCACCCTGTGCTTGTGCTGCATCGTGACAGCACCACGGCAGTTGTACCCATGGTTTAGAGACTTGAGGACTTGACAGAATTTTCATGTCATCTGAGCACAAGCTGTTTTGCATCTTCCCTTTCCACCCCTAACAGTTGTTAATTCATGATGGTCAAAGCGCCAAAACCATATAATGCGAAGCAAGCACCGCAGCTATCAGCCATCAGTCAAGCAATTGTGTCACTACAAGAACAATTAGACTCATATACTCATAAGTCAGATCTTGTGCTGTACGCCATCTGAATGATTGATAGCATTTATCTTCATATGTAGGAAACCAGCATGCCAATGACTTGGACTGTCACAAAAAGAAGACTAATCAAGAACAGGACTCCTTGATAAATGGTAGCAGCCAGGACTTGATTCCCCGACCAAAGGGCTGCTGAGGACAAAGTGATGGAAAGGGCTACAGTATTGTCAAGGCAATGGGCCTCTCGAAGAAGAAGGAATTCTTTAATCACCTCAAGGTTGTATTTTTTTTTTCCATAGATGACACTGATCTTGCTGATAAAAGTAGCATGGTATTCACAAACTTGCAAACCAGAAACTCGATATGAGTCAAATGATAATGCAGCAAAAAAACAAGCTACTCGTTGAGAAAGTTATTTTTCAGGTGCATTGCTGTCATATATATGCATATATGCATTATAATCTCTATGTAGGTGCAATTAGAATACAAGATATTCCAGAAATATGAAAACACATGGCCAGTGTGAGATTTATTGGCACAATATCTGTGCAATAATTCGCAGTTGGAGAAGAAAGCTACCTCAAACCTCGAGGTGCACGATGCAATAAATGATTTCATTTAATTCACCAGGACTCGTCGCAACTATATGAAACACAGCACAGGATTGGGAAACGAAAAGCAGAAGAGATCTGTGGTGATGAAGAATCAGATTTTTGGGACGTTAATGAGGACATGTCCATCATTGACTTTGATCATCTGTGCTCAGAAACAGATAGCCCAAGTGAAGCAAGTGATGATGACAGTGGTGAAGACCTATCAGAAGACGGGCAAGACAGCAACAAAGACAAAGATGAAGACAAAGACAACGACATGGTGCCAGTCAAGAGAAAATCTACAGACCTACCAGCCTCGGAAGTATGTAGCAAGACATCCAAGTCTGGTGCATGCGGATCATCAGGTGAGTAGCATAGATGATTTGATATGTACTAATCATCTATGGGCCATTGTAATAGATCATAACGAACGTCCAAGTCGTCCTCGAAAAAAACAGTGCAAAGAAGAATCAGAAGATGAGCATGGCGGCGAAAGTGACAAAGACGACAATCTGGTGCCAGTCAAGAGAAAATCTGTCGCACCAGCCTCACTGGAACACACTAAACATAGCAAGATGTCCAAGCCCTCTAGGCGACTATTGGGTGAGCTTTGTGGATCAGACCTCATCCGTCACTAACTCTCTCGTCTCACTAGATGATAGCAAACTTCGTCCTCAGAAACAACAGCAGGAGCGAGCCAACATTGCTGAAAAGCAAAAGATGGTAACAGCGAAGCCTGACCCCAAGGTGAATGAGTATAGCAAGCTCAATGACAGTGTAGGAAGTATTACCTGACATTCAGTCATACTCACCAAAGCAGAACACTCGAGCAATGAAGGCACTCTCAAATTCAAAGGTATTCTATGTGGGCTAATGGCAAACCTGTACTGACACCAGCATTACAGACCACTGTAGGATGCTCTATCAAGATCACAAACGTGAGATTGCCTCCAAACGAGGATGAGGACAAGGACGACACCGATTATCATGAGCTCGCTGCCGCTGCCACTGCCGACAGTCCCATTGCAAGTCACCAGCCACCAAAGACATGTCCTGGAATGGACTGCAAAGATGTGATCCCCAACAATATCTCTGACCAGCTCAAGACTGCCTTGTCCACCTACATCAGCCTTGTCAAGGAAAGGAAGACCAATATTCATTTGGAGACGGATATCTGTATCTTAATCAAACGAGAGCATTGTCAGCTCGAAGCCCTCAAGGTTGCAGAGGCAAAAGGTTGGCCAGCCATGAAAATCAAGTTCAAAGATATCCCCTCTCGTGTTCTGGAAATGTATGACAAACTCGAGAAACTTTTGTTCAATGCAGAAGCACGTGAGAACCTCTGGCTCTGGACCTGTTTCAAAGCTGACCTCAAAGTGAATCATTACACAATAGTGCAATTTGCTCAAATGCGCATCCCTCCAATGTCTTTGGCAATATGGGAAAACTCGCACTGCGGATAGTAAGTAGTCTGCATTGTGTTCCTTGAGAACATTTAAAACTGATGACATCCCAGCTACAGTTCGAAAGGTGCCGCAATTGTTATGCACATGCTACTCCAGCTATTTCCACCAATGACATCCACTGATGCTTTTCAGCCTCTTTCACTTTTGCAGCACCTAACCTACTTCATAATTCCCCATGTCGTCTGTCAGTTTATCGCTCAAGACTTCGGCCTTTTGTCGACCATGCCCACGCACAATATCATGGTAGAAAGTAATGATGTTGGCGAACTGATCAATCCCGAGCACAATGATGATGATGAGCTCAATCAGATCAAACGTGCAATGACATTCGCTCTTAAACAGAGAAACCTTGAGGGCCAAACGATCCATGACGCTGCTAAGGCACTGGTCACGCTTCAATATGCAAAGACAACTGATGTTCTGGGCATGAGTGGTGTGCATCTTTTACTTTGATCTCACAGAGCTGACAGCAATAGGATCAGTCAAACACTCGCCCAAAACTGCATCTTGTGCTTCGTCCACCAAAGGAGGGAGCCCCTTGCACATCTAGTGCTTCGGGTCAGCAAGAAACCATTCAGGTCCGTTGAAACATAGCGATTTGACCACAGAATCACTACACACTGCATTTCAACCATCCAGGTTGCTGCAAGCACCAGTTGTTACGCTTCCATCAGGGGTCCTTCCTTTTTCAACTTCTCTCGGTCACATGTGTCATGTGCCTCGTCGCATCCCTAATAACCGTTGCCATCCTAGGGGCTCAAATGCTCCAGGGAACGTTCGGATCTCCCGTTGACAGGGTATTTCCAATACCTGTCGAGACCGCATTGCCACTGTGATCTGGTATTCCACCACCCTCTCTGATGGACGACTTGTTCACTTCTTCCTTTCTGATTCCTTCTGACTCATTTATATTGCTCACATGTTGTACTATAGTTCCGGTGTCAGGCTCCTTGCTGCACATTGATGGCGCAGCTGGTATAGCCTTCGTTCCCTTGCCTATCCCCATCTTTGACACTGTATGACTCTTTTCTATTTCATTGATGAACTTGTTGATTACTGTAGATACACGTCATGACATGTCACGTGTGACTGGTATGGTACTTGTACTTAGGAGTATATAATCCTATGTACTTTGTCCTGTATCTGCAGTTTTTTGATAGCTTGCAACTGAGCTTCATCCCTCTGCTTTAATCCTCGTTCTCTCTCCATGCGAACAACCTTAGGGACTCGCCAGTAGACAGAACCTCTGTCGGATTCTCGCAGTAACTCAGCCATAGGGGTTACAACAAGTTTGGCCTGTAGACTCCCACCTTGTGCACTTCATGCCTATTCCATTTGAAGAAGTCACTGTGCTCGGGCATAACAAAATCGAAAAACTCCACGCAGCTTTTGGGACTTGTCGACCTCTTCGCAAAAGTCTACTTGTCCCTCGGTTACTGAACTTCAACAAACCGCTATGCTTCAAACAAAGACTCGTTGGTCTCCCTCAGTGCAAAGACTAACTCGTCTTCACCCTTCATCAAATCTTATCGCTCTACAGGCAGCCATCTGGCTTTAATAGATCGCCTCCCTAGAGTCAGCGCTCATGTCTCCCTATGCGTAAAGTCACTCGTGCAACACCACCCCTACACATACTTCGCTGACAGGTTTCTTTCAAGAAATAAATCCTCCCTCAGCTTTTGTTGTCACTTTTCATAAAAGTGTCTAACCCTCAGAAGTTGAGACCTCCAGTCCCTCCTTGATCAAAACCGTTAGGACTAGGAAGGAATCCTCCTCTACCACCCATCCCGTTAGGAAGGCTAGGACCCTTGGTAACGTCCACAAACCCTCATCTGTCCTATTTGTCCCATTTTAGGGAATCGGAAGTCACGCTTAGTTCAGAAGAAGAAGATGATCAGAAGTCCGACACTTCTCTCAGATCAGTCCTCAAGGAACAAGAAGCACGCAAATCACCCGTTATGTCCATGACACTCGGTCATGGAGAATCAGCCCCTGAGATGCCATCAAAGGTATACTCCGAAGTGGAGCTGAAGGAAAGGTTGGAAGAACAGAGATGCTCTTTGGCAGAAGACTGGCGCAAGATAGCCAGTGGACAGTCAAGCAATCCGTTCCCAACAGGTACGCCTATGGACTCGGCATTATGAGCCTGGTACATGCAGAACTATGGAAAGGTAATTCCCCCAGAGGTCCCCGTTGGTGGGTCCAGTAAGGGTAAGGCCCCAGTAGATCCCGACGACTCGTACGATTGCCACCCACCCAATGGAGGAAGGGAGTTTAATGTCAGGCGTCCTGGAGAATACGATGGAAGCCACAATGGGCTTCAGACCTGGATCATGCAGGTCGAAGGTTATTTGAACCTGAACAAGCATGTTTACAACATGGAATCACTCAAGATCTTGTTTGCCCTTACATACATGACAAAAGGGGCAGCAGTTTCCTTTGCTGAAAATTATCAAAACGAAAACAAGCTTCTCGATGGAACTATCTGGTACTCCAACACCTTCCAGAGATTCGTCGAACATCTCAAAGCTACTTTCGAGTCCGGCAATCAGACTGCTCTTGCAATCCTTCGTCTCTCCAACATCGCACAAGGAAAACGAGAACTTGAATCGTATATTGCCGAGTTTACTGGGCTTGTCAACAAGGCTCAACTCAAGGAAGAATCATGAGAAGCAGGGATCTTCTTCGGAAAAGGATTGAATAAAGAATACTGCAATTGGATCCTGGATTCAGGACGTGCCCCTTCCATGGTCATCGAGTGGATACAGTGCACGGGAGAAGCCAGAACAGCAATCACCATGAAACATATCCTTGAAGGAAAGGAATCTCGATATGAATGGAAGTTTGTTCATTATCGCAGAGGTTCCCGAGATCCTGATGCGATAGACATGGATAAATGAAAGCGGAATGTAAGACATTCTAACTCCGAAATTACATGCTTCGAATGCGGAGCAAAGGGTCACTACAAGCATGACTGCAAGAAGACTCAAGGCAAGAGTTCCCAAGGCATATGTGTTGTCCTGACCGAGGATGGCAAGAAGATTGCCTATATGGGGGATTGTCTGGCGATGGACGATGAAAAGAAGGCCTATGGGTTGAATTTTTGATTGGGACTGCTGATACTCCTAAGGCAGGTCCCGCATCTGTTTTGTCTGCTAAATGTACTTCCATAGATGACGAATCCGGAATGTGAGTTGGTTCACCTGTTGGAAGAGCGTGGTTGGCAGACTATAACGCAGGAGTAATGGTTTGCATCAACTCTGGCACAGAGGTTTTGCTCATTTTGGAGCAAATTGTTCAAAAATTGCGAATCCCTTCGTATTGGGTCAAGACCAAATTCAAAACAATGTCATTTACTGGAAAGGATGTTGAATGGGTAACCCAAAAGGTAACCATACAGCTAATCATCAAGAACAGGTTGATCTGCATCAAGTGTTATATCGGACCGCTGGTCAGGAAGGAACATATCCTTCTTGGGATGCCTTTCCTGCGCTTGTTCAAGCCATGCATGGATTGGGAACACAACAAGATTACCTGTTGGGATGATGGGTTTGTACCTACCCGGGAAACTGACATCATTATTAGAGATCTATGCCCTGTCTACAAAGGAACAGCCATAAAATTCAACAGCAATGGTTCCATAAAGGAACCGGTGGTAAGTAGTAGCATTAACAAAACTACTTTGTCCACAGAACTCAAGGCTGCCTTATCCTCGACTAAGGAGGAAGTTATACTTCCGAAGGAGTATCAAGAATTCGCCAAGGTGTTCTTGGAAGAGGACATCCTGCTGCCACATCACCAAGAGGGTCTCAATCACGAGATCTGCTTGCATGATGATTTCAAACCCAAGAAGGCCGCAGTCTATCTGATGTCCCCAGACAAACTCAAGGTCTTGGATGAATTCCTTGAAGAAAATCTCAAATGCAAAAAGATCAGACTGTCGACTTCACCTCAAGCAGTGCCGGTGTTTTTCGTAGCAAAGGAGGATGGAAAGAAGCGGTTAATTCAAGATTACCGCTACCTGAACTCCTTCACAATCCCAGATGCACACCCGTTGCCGAACATGCAAGCCTTATTCGACAAATTGGTCGAATCCAAATACTACGCAAAGTTCAATATTCGTTGGGGGTTTATGAACCTTCGGGTATGAGAAGGTGACAAGTGGAAAGGGGCATTTATCACGCCAAGAGGGCTGTTTGAACCTATGGTAATGTTCTTCAGCCAGTGTAACTCACCACCTTCCTTCCAGCGATATATGGACCGAACCTTTGCCTCTCAACAAGGAAAACAAGTTGGGTATATGGATGACGTTGCGATCCATGCCAAGACAAAGGAAGAGTTAAGGACTCGTGTTTGCAAGTTCTTGATGATCTGCCAGAAAGAAGGACTTCACCTCAAGATTAGCAAATGTGTCTTCGAGGCCAAAGAAATAGAATTCCTCGGAATGATCATAGGAAAGGGGTGTTTGGAGACTTCGCTGACGAAGACTGACACCATTAGTACCTGGGAAGCCCCTGAAAACCTAACCAGGCTTTGAAGGTTCCTCAGATTCTGCAACTTCTACCACAAATTCATCCCTTCCTTTTCAAGCATCACTTGTCCCCTTCACAACCTGACCAAGAAAGGGGTTTCCTACCAGTGGACTCCCGAACACAACACTGCATTTGAAAAGCTAAAGAGTTTGTTATGCTTGGCTCCGGTCCTCTCTATCCCCGACTTCTTGAAGCCCTTTGCGCTATTTACAGACGCTTCGAAGCTCAGAACTGGCGCAGTCCTCACACAAAAAGGATCAGACAACAAGTGGCATCCTTGCTCTTACCTCTTGCAGTCCCTGGTTGGTGCAGAACAACGCTACCAAGTCTATGACCTTGAGATGCTCACAGTCATTTGAGCTCTCAAAGTGTTCCACCCCTATCTTCTTTCCACTGTTGAACCGACTGTGATCTTTACTGATCACAAAAACCTCAAGTACTACCGGGAGCCACAACAGCTGACACCACGTCAGGCTTGCTGGGCTGCCACAGTCCAATCCTACCCCATTTGTTTTTCCTGGCAGGCTGGTCGCCTCCAGGTCCCCACCGACACTCTTTCTTGCAAGAGCGAAACCACAGAGCCTGCCCCGGTGGCCACAGTCCTTCCTCCGGACCTTCGGCTTTCAGGGGGGGTGGGTCCCCAAATTTGTCTCATCTCACCCTCATTTTCATTTACAAAAATACAAAAACAACTCAAAATCAACCGTTTGTGCTGTGTGGGACATCTTCCTGCCGATTGCTCAACCACAAAAAGAAACACCAAACCATATTCCCACCCAACTGAGGAAGCGCCAAAGGGGAAACGGGTCCCTACTGCTCGCCCATCTGAGAAGATTAACAAAGGAGCTAGGGGTGTTTACGTGATCTCCGTGGACCTTTACGAATGCATCAAGAACGATACGTCAAAGGTTTCGAAAGGCCCAGAACCAAAGGAAAACGTAACCATCGCACAAGACGGAACAAAATGGTTCGGAACAACAAGGCTGTATATCCCTCCCGATCATCGCCACCATTGTATGCAAACTTACCACGATCACGAGTCCTCCGGTCACCCAGGACAAAAAGCAATGTTCGCAAAAATGAGAAAGGAAGTATGGTGGGAAGGTATGGGAAAAGATATCAAAGCTTATGTCGCAGGATGCCTGGTCTGTCAGACCACCAAGGTGGTTACTCACCCGCCAACACCGCCAGTCGTCCCGCACGATACTCCCAAAGCCCCATTCCCATTCCAACAAATATCTATGGATCTCATCACGGATCTCCCAGTTTCGGGAGAACAAAAGTTTGACACTATTCTCACAGTTGTCAATCAAGGCCTGTCAAAGGCAGCGCTTTTCGTCCCGTGCCACAAAACTATTGACTCTGTTGGACTCGCCCGACTCTTCCATCAATTCATATATTCCTGGTATGGAATCCCAGAGTCAGTAATCTCAGATCGCGGACCCCAGTTTGCTTCGTCATTTACCAAGGAACTATACAAGGCGATAGGAGTAAAAACCAAGATGTTGTCCGGATACCATCCGCAAACCAACGGAGAAAGCGAACGCATTAATCAAGAAGTCAAAGGGTATCTTCGACTGTACTGCTCGGAGTTTCCTAACTCCTGGGCGTCGAAGTTACCTTCTGCTGAGTTCGCCCACAACTCCTGGATCCACTCCGTTCATCAAATGACTCCGTTCTCCCTCCTTCTTGGATATGACCCCTCTCCTTATCCCGAGGTCCGGCTTACCCTGGTCCCATCAGTCGACGAGAGGCTGGAACGCCTTGCCTTGAGCCGTGACGTCGCAGTCTTGGCTCATCGGAAAGCACAGGAGTTGATGAAGAGTCGCTCAAAAGGGACTTATGTTGCGCCGAAAGTAGGAGATAACGTTCTCCTGGATACCAGTCACCTGCACATCAAAAACCAGTGTGACAAGATTGCGCCCCAACATCTCGGGCCCTTCAAAGTGACTCAGCTCATGTCCCCAGTCGCCTTCCAATTGGACCTTCCTGCCACTTGGAAGGTACACCCAGTGTTCCACACTTCTTGGATCTTCCCGTTCATCAAAAATGAGGTTTATGGGGCTGCGCCCGCAGCTCCTCTGCCCAAATTGGTCGATGATGAAATTGAGTGGGAGGTCGAGTCAATACTAAATCACAAGGTCAATGGCTGAAGAGGGAAAAGACATTATCTTGTCAAGTGGAAAGGGTTCCCCCATTCATCAAATACTTGGGAACCCGAAGAACACATAAAAGACCATGCATCTGAAGCCCTCGACCAGTACAAGCTCGCTTGTCACCTCAAAAATTAAATGGACTCCCCTCACTCTGTTAACACAGAAAATGACTATGCCGACCTCCCCCTTGCCCCAGAATCTGTTTACTACGCTGACAACGACGGTCTCATACCCTCCGTCAGTGTCTATGCCCCAACCTCGCCTCCAGCATCCCCCGCTGGCTTTCATATCTCCAGGCTCTCCTCACCCGTCTCTCAACCCCGTCCGATATCACCCCCTGTCACCCACACTCTCAGACCGCACCCACTCAAGGGGTTCTCCGTCAGGCGTGCGCCTGCCCCGAAGGCCAGAGTCCCCCTCAGTGAGGACAGTAACCAAAAGGGAAAGGGTAAAGCACGCATTGACAATGACCCCGATCGTCCAACAACCGCCACCGGTGACTCCGATGCTCCTGAATCTACCCACTTACGCACTGCCTTCACTACCTACTCCGACAGTGCTCAACACGCAACCCTCGACCTCCTCGCAACCACTGCCACTGCCAGGCTTGACCAGCAGCGACTACCAATCTCAGCAAGTGATTACCTGGACATTGTTAGGGTGCTTGATGTCTTCGACGATGGGGACAACATTAACGGGTGCTCACCAGAACAGGTTGAGTATTTTGGGATGTTGTCTAAAATCTACAGAGCGTCAGACATGATCAATGGACTTGTGTCCAAGATCCGCACTCGGAAATTAAGCGGAACTGCACCCCTGTCCAAAGTAATCATGATCGACATGCTAGAGAAGGCGTCTGCAGATCTTACCAAGGCCATAACCGGTGGAGCATATCACCATTTACATCAGCAACAGATAGGAGAGTTCTTGGCGCCACCTGCTTCTCGAATCCTGGACCGCATCATCCCAAAGCAAGAGGAATCATCGGCTTCGGAGCAGAAGTTAAAGGAAGACATCCTGGATCAGGAGAAGGAAAAGCAATGGCATGCCTTGGAGTTAGGGTTTGTCGACTCAGGAGAGCTGTTTAAAGAGGTTGGTGCCTGCCTTGGTACTGGCACTCACAACTCCACTTGGGAGGTTTTGTTACAGGATGCTTCATGGGCCGGAATCCATAAAAACTACTTCAATGCCGTCCATGCGTCCGACCCTCTCCCTAGTGCTCCCTTCATCCCCATCCCTGCTGATCAACTTCGGTACTACCTCGGAGGCCAGGCCCCCGTTCCTCCCGAACACCCCCTTTACCAGCATGCCTGTTTCCAGTGTCGTTACCTGGGACATTGGTCGTGTCGGAACGGACGTGGCTCCCGCTTTACTCTGGCCCTCGAGGAACCGATGACTCCATCGCCTTCATTGCCCATTGCATCTCGAACACGTTCCCGCGTCTATACTACTCGCTGACCCCTATCCACCCGCTCCACCAACGCAACTTCCAGCCTGTCCTCATGGGTCTGAGGACCTTAGGGGGGGGGTGATGTTACGCTTCCGTCAGGAGTCCTTCCTTTTTCAACTTCTCTCAGTCACGTGCGTCACGTGCCTCATCGCATCCCTAATAACCGTTGCCATCCTAGGGGCTCAAATGCTCCAGGGAACGTTCAGATCTCCCGTTGACAGGGTATTTCCAATACCTGTCAAGACCACGTTGCCACTGTGATCTGGTATTCCACCGCCCTCTCTGATGGACGACTTGTTCACTTCTTCCTTTCTGATTCCTTCTGACTCGTTTATATTGCTCACATGTTGTACTATAGTTCCGGTGTCAGGCTCCTTGCTGCACATTGATGGTGCAGCTGGTATAGCCTTCATTCCCTTGCCTATCCCCATCTTTGACACCGTATGACTCTTTTCTATTTCATTGATGAACTTGTTGATTACTGTAGATACACGTCACGACATGTCATGTGCGACTGGTACGGTACTCGTACTTAGGAGTATATAATCCTATGTACTTTGTCCTGTATCTGCAGTTTTTTGATAGCTTGCAACTGAGCTTCATCCCTCTGCTTTAATCCTCGTTCTCTCTCCATGTGAACAACCTTAGGGACTCACCAGTAGACAGAACCTCTGTCGGATTCTCGCAGTAACTCAGCCATAGGGGTTACAACAAGTTTGGCCCGTAGACTCCCACCTCGTGCGCTTCATGCCTATTCCATTTGAAGAAGTCACCGTGCTCGGGCATAACACCAGTGGTGCTTGCATAAACACAACTACGAGTCATTCTCAAGTACTGGGGAAAAAGCCTCATGGCTGGCAAAGTAAGAAGGCCCCCAAGACAGTTGAACAGGATCCTCAGGCTGGGGACGCCACAGTGGTGGTAAACCCACTTTCTTATCTCTTGGTTGGCTTGCTAACAAGGTCGATCCTGACATAATTCAGACACAGGCTCGATGTACACCCCGAAGTGCACGATCAAAACATTAGGTCCACATCCAAATCCTCCTCCCTCACACATTTTCAATCGCTGCTACTCAACCGCTCTCGTTTGGCTGTCGTTGCACTGCCGGCTGCTCCTCCTCGAATTCGATCGCTTTTGCCGGACCGTTTTCATTTCTATCACTACTGTGTTGCTCGGTCTTGTTAGCTCCTGCTGGACTTGTGACGGATTACTGACGCTTTCGTGGAATACCCTGTTATATGACTGTGCTGTGGGTGTCTCTGTAACCTCAGGTAGCGTTTGAAATCGCAATTTTGTGATTTGCCTGGTTATTTCCATGACAAGTGGGACGTATGTAAGCAAGCATGAAAACCCGTGCTATCGAAGCGGAAAATGAGCGCTCGCATGAATTTATTACGGTGTCGCGACGTGGAAAAACAGCTACAAGGCAGTGTTATTCAGTACTTACGACGTTTTTTTTTCGGTGACGAAGACACTATTTTTTACTAGACCGGATGGGCACTTCAGCGTCACATTATGACGCTGAAATTCAATGACTGACACTGATCTTCAGCTGTTCCGACACTTAACAGAAGTGATTTGGACATTTATTTTTATTGATTTTACTTTTTACAGTGTGAATTTGCTGATGAAGGCACCGTGTACCCCCTTCTCTCGTGGGCAGCCCGCAATTAAACGAAGAACTCAAGACACTTTCCATCCAACTCGCAACCTTCATCCACCCTTCCCTCGCGCTGCACGCGTACTTCGCACTCGCATATGGGATTCTAGCGAGTTTCCTGCATGTGATGTTCCTTTGTCATCCGCTGAACTTCAGCATCCGTCCACATATTTGTTTCTCAAGAACTTGGCCGGCTTCTTACATTCGATTGAATGGCCTTGCTTGAACCCATTGGACACGTTTTTTTCCTTCCCTGCGAGTACCTTACTGTAACGCGCGAGCTGGATTCAGATTCTTGCATTCAAGGCTTTCGTCCATGCCAAACTCACACGCCCGCTCGATCATCGTGAAACGTCATAAACATCTTGAATAAGTACCAAAAGTGCGGTTGGGGAACAAGTTTGCCGAAAGTCTACAGTCTAAGCTCATAGTACAACGAATAATTTGTTCTGATACCGCTCGCTCGGAGACGCGCTCATATTCACTCCTTCCTGTGTTTCTGATAGTAATGGATGAGACCCGTGGTCTATGCAACACACACGTCAAACATCCATCGAGAAGAAGAGGGTGACAGGACGCACCGAACTATCGTGGCCTTTGACATCCTGTGGCGCATTCAACTGCGCCAAGATGTTCTTCGCGAGGACTTTGCCAAGCTCAACACCCATTTGATCTGAGTAATGGTGATGCCGATCGGTCAGCGACTAACGACGACAGACACGCGATACGCACCGAAGGAGTTGATACCCCAGATAACGCCCTGCGTGAAGATCTTATGTTCGTACAGCGCAATCAACGCGCCGAGCGTTCTCGGCGTCAACAACGGGAACAAAATACTGTTACTCGGACGGTTCCCTTCGAACACTTTACTCTTCACGACCTCCTCCCTCGCATTGGGGCCGAGCTCTTTACGAACCTCTTCTTCGGTTTTGCCAAAAGCCAGTGCCTCGGGTTGCGCGAAAAAGTTGGAAAGGAGGATGCGGTGGTGTTTGGAATGGTCGATAGGGTTGTGGGACGTGCAGGGAGCAAGGAAGTCCGCAGGGACGAGTTTTGTTCCTTGATGTAGGAGTTGGTAGAATGAGTGTTGGCCGTTCGTACCCGCCGCACCCCAGATGATAGGCTATCAGAGAGAGGGAAGGGGCATGAGTCGTGAGCCGAATGCGTAGATAATAATGAGGAATAAGTACATACTCCGGTCTGATAATCGACCCGCTTGCCAGACTTAGTGACGGATTTACCGTTAGACTCCATATCGCCTTGTTGGAAGTAATCGGCAAACTTGTGGAGGTACTGGTCGTAAGGGAGGAGGACGTGGGTCTGGGCGCCGTAGAAATCGTTGTACCAGATTCCGAGAACGGCGAGGATAACGGGGAGGTTGTTCTCCAGAGGAGTTTCCTTGAAGTGCTTGTCCATCCCGTGTGCACCTCTGAGGAGTTGTTCGAAATTGACATAGCCAATGTAGAGGGCGATAGAGAGACCGATGGCGCTCCACAAGCTGTAGCGCCCGCCAACCCAGTCCCAGAACTGGAACATATTGTCTTCGTCGATACCGAACGCAGTCACAGCCTTGGTGTTGGTGCTAAGTGCAACGAAATGCTTCGCTACGTGTGCTTGGTCCTTGGCAGTGGACAAGAACCATGCTTTAGCGGATTCGGCGTTGGTGATTGTCTCCTGGGTAGTGAAGGTCTTGCTAGCGATGATGAACAGTGTTCGTTCCGGGTCGCAGAGTCGCAATGTCTCGGCGAGGTGTGTTCCGTCGATGTTGGATACGAAGCGGACGGTGAGGTCACGTTTGGAGTATGGTTTCAATGCTTCGGTGACCATGACAGGGCCAAGATCTGATCCGCCGATGCCAATATTGACGATCGTATCGATGGTCTTTCCGGTGTATCCCTTCCACACGCCGTCCCTGACTGCATCTGAGAATACCCTCATATGGTTTAGTACATCTGCCACCTGGTTGACGCCATCCTCTTGAATTTTGAAGTCGTCGAAGTTGCGCAATGCGATATGTAACACGGCACGATCTTCGGAGTTGTTGATATGTTCGCCGGAAAACATGGCATCGCGGTACCGTTCGACACCAGCTTCGCGAACGAGGGAGAGGAGGGTGTCCAAGATGGGTTGGGTGATGATGTTTTTGGAGTAGTCGAGTAGGAGGGTGGTGTTTGAATCGGTAGAGTCTGTGTACTCCGTGGAGAACCGCGAGAAGCGGGAGGGGTCCTGGGCGAAGAGGTCCCTCAATACGAGCGAGGCATGCTGCTCGTCGTATATTTGCTGGAGTTTCTTCCAGGCAGCGTACTCTGATTAGATAAGATCTTTGTCGTTAGTGGTTCGTTTGCGATGGACACGAGAGTCCAACATACCAGTAGCGAGTCTTCCGGTCATGCTAATAGTGCACACACAGAGAGAGTTACGCGGGGATAGCAGGGGAATCGCTGGCTGGGATAGAAGCGAGCACGATTATATCACAACTGCGTCAGACTAGCGTGGGAACGGCCGAACACATATGATTGGATCATGATGAACTCACTGGAGAATGGGTGGATAAGGAACATGACACGACTGATACGTCGCACGTTTCTAAGCTTGTTTCTAAGCTCGGGAGGTAACGTGAGCAAGACTCGGAACAAGATGAGTAAGGAGGGTTGCGACCAGGTCGAGTACTGGTGACACGGGCGGGCTCCCAAGTCGTCTTGGACCTGTCATGCTCTCATCATCACACCATTAATTATGAATGTCGTCGTTTCCGCATGACCCAGCGCTGTCACTGTCACCACAGCAGTACGTGGTCATACGAAAGCAATGGGGACTGGACGAGCAAGAAGTTCAACAATGGACTAACCCTAACCCTACATGTTTATTTGTGTCTGTTTGTACACAGTGGCATTGTTGTCTCCTCGTGGGTTGGTTTCAGTCGACGGTTGGGCCCGCAGTGTGTTTGTGTTATCTCTCCCTTCTGCCAGCCGTTTTTATATTTCTTTTACTTTAAAATACTTTTTACGCGATGTCGACGCAGGAACAGCCCGTCCTCGACTCGTCGCCAGTCCAACTTCCCCCAATCTCGGATTTTCCAACTCGACGCTCCCTAAAACGTTCTGCGTCTGTCGCGTCGCTTCCAACCCCACCACGCACTCGCCACAAACGCTCACGTGGGCAGATACGCTCGCCCACGTCAAGACATGTCGCTGATGAGAGCGATAGTAACAGCGACTGGGCATCAAGTGATAACAGCGCTTACGCCACACGCATCACCCGCGTCAAGAGCAAAAGCAGTGGCGATGAAGCCAGTCAGCCACTCGACGTCCCCGTGAAGCGCACGGCACTCGTTCTTTCTAGTCATGACGACGATGACGAAGAGGAGACGGCATTTTGGATGGGAGGAAAGCGTCAGGATGGCGAAAAGGCCAAAAAGGAGTCAGAACAGGGCGAACCACTCGAGTCTTCTCCCCGTCCTGCGCTTCTACGCTACAACTTCAAAGGACCCGTATCCCCTCCTCCATCCCGCCGTCAACCTCGGGTTCCGCCGAATCGTGCAACTTCCATTGAACCACCCACAGCAGCTCCGTCGACACCCCCTCGCAAACTCTTCCTACGCGCCCCGCCCACCCTCGCTAAAACACCCACCCGGAAAACGAGGAAGACATGGCCCAGGAAGTTGCCTACCCGTGACTCGCCTGATAATCCTTTCCTCAACAACGACACTGGTGTGCCAAACAAGAAGGGCCCCAGTGAATGGGATTGTTCTGACGACGAGGCACGCGAACTAGTCCTACCGAAACCTGTTTGCAAGGAGGGGGAGCCTACGCCCGTATCATCTTACGGGGAGAGGCCGACCATCACATACGTATTGTAAGTCTCGTCGCTGGCTCACTCCGATGCAATCGTCCATTAATCATCCACACCCATCACAGTCGCGGCCAAAAGGCAACAATGGCAAACCCATTGTATAGCGTTTCACCAGATGCGGTGGCAGCATCAAGGCTACCCATCGATCATCCTGATTACGAGCCGCTAGAGGTGTGCCCTCCCAAACGACTGTTTTTCTCAGGGGGAAAGCGCAAAACTAGGGATAACAGTCGTGATAGCATCGGGTTTTCAGAAGGCGTTAAGCGAGTCAGGTCGCACGTGTCTGATAGTGATGGAGACAGTCCCCAATCGGGAGGGGAAGAAACTAAGGTGGACAACAAGATCGTCTTACCAAGCGACGAGGATCGTGAACCTGTTTTCTCAAAACCTCCCCGTGAACCCTCCCAGCACCGGCCAGATCCCGAACAGGAATCAGATGCAAGAGAGGCCCTGCGCCGAGCTCGTGAAGAGCGCGAGCGCAGAGTTAGAGCTGACAAGGAGCGTCTCGGCCATTCGGAAGGTTTGCGCGCTGGCGCGGTCGTCACACAGAGGGACGATCCCATCAGACGGGCCTGTGGCCCGCCCCGCAACGCTTGATGCTACGGAGCTTAGTCCCTTCCCATCTGCCCGTTCGTTTTATAAACCATTTTCATCTCTTTCTTGTCTCAGGGACCTTGTTGATTCTGCGATACCTTTGTATTCCTCGTCGTTTTGGTTCTTTCTCGACGATGTCTCTATCCTCGTTGTGCCACTTCTTCACACAGCCATCTTTCCCCCCTACGCTCCGTTCCTACATAGCACATATACACATATCCATACATCCCCGCGACACCTCCACTTGCACACATTCCCCTCCCCCTCCCCCACATGTCACGTTTTTCTTAGTCCCCTATCTTATCCTATGCTCAATTCAAATCCGTAAGTACGCATTGTCCCTCGTTCGTTTTATATTCCAAGTAACGTATATGTGTAGTACGTGATCGATGCTACCTGGTTTCGTAGCTGTAGGGCTCTCGAGACGGGTAATATAGAAACATTAGAATTTCTGTAATGAGTCTAGCGACTATGTCAGAATCAGAATTCCTGTGGTCGGTAATATATCTCTTGTATCAGCGTTTATCTAGGTGCCGAATTTGGGATACTTGCTCGATATAAGCAGTACATGCTGAAAGATTCGGGAATGTTCTATCATCATTGTCAGGAAATCAATTGAAACCCTTCCCCAGCTCACACAGTACCACTCTACCTTCGTTATAACACGACAGGCTTCGCCCTGATCCTTCGCACGCCTCTCTGCGTTGTGTAGTATATAGAATCGGACTTCACATTTACTTAAGTAAATGCGTTCTCGAGCTCACGAGTCGCTGAAGTGGTTTTTCCGCAACCTTCTAAACAATATTTCGTCGCAGAACATCGTAGTGTTGTGAGTGCACTGATGCAATCTTCGATGCGGCAGTAGAACTGAGAGTGCAACTAGTATCGTTGGTCCATCTGCCTCAGGAAAGAGTCGGGTAAAATCAACGCCTATCCCGTTCTATACCACTGCTCACTCTGTATTCAGTTTACGAGCATCCTTTTGCAAAGTGAAGAAGTTCACTTAATATACAGCGGAGACCAGAGTTCCAACACTACAGGTGCTCTCGCGAAACGGTGCCGTTTCGACGGAGTGCAGAGTGATGTCATTGTAGATACACCGTCTTTCTACACCCACGAAGGGCCAGATGGGGAGGAGGTATTGAAAGAGTGGATGGATCAAAAGTAAGACATACCGCTTGACACTATACAATTAATAACCTGTCTGATTAGCTATACGAAGCCGTGCAAGGCGGCTGGAGTGCTGTACATGCATGACCTTGCATTCAACCCAGACGATGCAGCTTTGAATGTCTCAAAGCATTTGGACGCTTTTCGACGCACGTGCCGTCAATGTCTCGTTCCGCGCGTAATTCACGTCGTCCCGACTCTGCGCTACGAGGCAAAACTATCTGACGAGGGGAACAAAACATCAGCGACTCAACTTCAACGTCAAGTAAACTATGAAGGTGCACGATTTTGTGGCACATCGTCTGATGGAACACCCTTTGATGGAAAACCCGAGACGGCGTTGGGCATCGTCCAGGGACTCTTGGCGGACTGTAATAATGCAAAAGCAGGAGTTCCAAGAAGCAATTCCACGAGCCCCGTTGGGAAGGCTGAAGTTACAGAAAACGATTACGCAATTTTGTAGGTGGCAGCATACCTCGTTCGAACGTTTGGTTGAGTCTTGACGGGTCAGCGTGCTCAGCTCAAAAGGGGTAGGCAAAAACTGGGTATTACCGTCGCCTCATCATAAGTATACTTTCTAATGGATTACTAGCTTATCGGGCAGTTGTCAAACAGTCATGACATGATTCAACATCCTTCCACAAGGCATGTCGAATCGTGGAGGTGCGACCTCAAGATCGGCTCAGGCAGCATCGTAGTCGTTGACATACCGTCGTTCCCTGCCGACTGTAACGATTCCGATGCTGAGAATACCATGGTCGCCGACCCGCTGCCTCCGGACCGTGAAGAAGCCGCTCAAGACACAGTGTTTCTCCATACCGACCACAAGAACGCCGACGCTGGGAAAACCGTAGCCGTCGACCCACTTCTGTCTACTTTCGACCACAAAGATATCGAGGCTGAGATAACTGTGACTGATTGGTTAAAGTGGAAGTGAGCAAGATGAACGCCCCCTTATGATAACGTTTCAAATACTGCTGCAGGTTTACTAAAACATGTCATCCTGGCATCCTCTATCTCCACTCACTCGATTCGGACCCGACACCTGCTGACGTGCCGATGTCGCAGCATCTCGAATCGTTTGCGAGGGCGTTTCCTGACAACTTCACGGTTCCGTCACGCGTTTATGTGGTGCCTACGAGCAAGTCGGACTCTACTCTTCCCAGTGAAACGCTTAGCCAACGGTTGTCAAAGCTCAAAACTATGGCGGAATCGTTGAAGGGTAACGGGAACCGTGATTGGCACGCATCTGTATTCCCAGGAGTCTTCAAAGGGCAGCCTGAAATAGCTTGGAGTGCAGCACTGATGCTCCTCAAGGATATAGCTAAGACTCAGGTACATCACTCTTGACCGCATTCGATCCTTCTGGAAAATAACTATTTCCATTCATACGTAGGTAAAAGAGCCCATTCCCCTCCCGATGGAACCTACCTTAAAGCGTATGACCCCACAATTCCCAGATGGTCGTTTAGCTGTGAAAGATCTTGCCGATCACCTTATCAAAAAATTCAGGGGAAAGGAAAGGAAAGGGGATTTGGATGCGATGATCATGCTCGGGCGAACTGCATTGGGATGCATTCCAGCAGAATACCTACAATGCCATTATGCCCTCATCAACCTCGCCGATCTCGTTTCCGAACGGTTCGAGAAGGAAGGAGTGAAAGAGGATTTAGACAAAGTAATCATGATAAGACGCGCCGCGTCTAATTACATAGTCCCAAACAACTCACAGAGAGAAAGACTTCTTCTCGAACTCGAAGACTGCCTTTATCAACGCTTCAGGAGGGAGGATTCCATAGTGGATCTAGAAGAGATCATATCTCTTCGCCGGGCTGCATTGGAACACACTCCTCTGCCGGATCGATGCAGACGTCTTCTCAATCTCGCTGATTCCCTTCAGGAAAAGTTCCAAAAACAACGTTTGGTGGACGATATCGATGAGGCCATTAGGCTCGCCCGTACCGCGTCGGAGCTGTGCCGTCCAGGGCACCCTGATCAACCGCTGTCTCAGGGGTGTCTTGCACGTTGCCTCAGAGCGAAGGTTAGAACGGAGGGTGCCCGAGGTCGCCCAAAGGGAGCCCAGATTGATCCTTCATCTTCCGGTTCTTCCGATATCAAGCATTTCATCAAAAAGGTTTTTTTCGAAACAGTTGAAAACCTTCCGCCGCACCTGCTACATACACCGACAGGCGTCATGTGCAACCGAGATGCCCAGCTATCCCATTTCGAGAGTAGTCCTTATTACGAGCGGCTCCTATTGTCAGCGTCTTCGCTCACCAGGCAGCAGCTCCAAACGGAGATCAATAGTACGGTTACAGACTTCTTTCCAATTGCCATGCTATCCCACAGGTGGGGGAACGGTGAACCCTTACTACGCGAAATTGAAGGCAAAAAGATCTATGACTTGCGTGGCACGGACGGTCTGGAAAAGCTCCAAGATTTCTGCCTGCTTGCTCTCGAACGTAATTTCCAGTGGGCATGGAGCGATACGTGTTGTATCGACAAAGATAGCAGCGCTGAATTACAGGAAGCGATTGGGTCGATGTTTTCTTGGTACCGCCAGTCATCCGTGACGATTGTGTACCTTTCCGATGTCTTCGAAGCCGATACGCTTGCCGATAGTGTCTGGTTTACACGGGGCTGGACACTTCAAGAACTGTTGGCTTCACACACCGTCTTCTTCTATATGTATGACTGGTCACTCTACACGAAGGGTGACACCGCGAACCACAAAAAAGATCCTACCGTGCTCGAAGAACTCCAGAGGGCAACGGGAGTAGCGAAACAGCACCTTACTGATTTCGATCCAGGCATGGATGACGCGCGAACCAGACTCCACTGGGCGTCAGGCCGTAGTACCACTCGACCAGAAGATATTGCCTACTCACTTTTTGGAATCTTCAAGGTTCACTTGCCAGTCCTCTATGGCGAATCGGTGGAGAACGCGCTCGGACGTCTCCTGGCAGAGATCATCTCACGTTCTGGAGACATTTCGGTTCTGGATTGGGTCGGGGAGGCATCATCGTTCAATAGCTGCTTCCCTGCCAGCCTCGTTCCGTATCAAACGGTACCCCACATCCAGCCGATCCCTAACGACCCTGCTATACGCAATGGTCTGGATCTTGAAAAGACACAGAAATTGTACTGTAAACTTGCAGCGTTACCACGCGCCGGATTTGTCAATAACAGGCTTACATTGCCATCCATCATCCACCCAATCACAGCAGTCAGACTACAAAGTTCCTCGACTAGCCCCTCACATCACACATACGAGATCCACGCATCGCGCCTGACGCCCCTCGAGGTCACACTGTCGGTCAACCTTGACAAGAGTGCCGATAGATATATGCTTGCTCGTCCTTGGCATCCAAAATCGCTCCCAATGCAAATCGGTGGGGATGACGATGCTGTGTGGGGGCCGTTGGAACAGCTGAAGCAACCATTCAACGCATTTCTGCTCGAGAAGTTGCGTCACAACGAGTACAAGAGAATTGCAAGCGACTGTATAATTACCGCTTGTGTTCAGGACCTGGCCGGCATCTTAGATACTGAAGTGCTGGTACCGGAGATTGTATAGGTCGTACTCGTGACGCACTTTCCTACCGCACCTCTTCATGTTTTGGCTTCGTGTGTCCCCATTTGATATCTGTGCCAACATTGTATTTTAGTACCCGATCAGAAGTACATACGTACGTGCTTATGCGGATTTGAATGGTTTCGTAGTAGAGCCACTAACCCAACGCAGCTTCGTCGAAAACGATATTGGGCGGCTTTGGCGGTTCTTGACCATGCCTCACATATCGAGACGGAACACCATAGGCAGGTTGATCCCCGACTCAGCCCACGCAGCCATTTAACGTGGATTGCTCATCATACTCCACGTCATATATGCTGAGATTGGATCTGCAGCGCCCCACTGCGACCCGAATATACCCTACCAGCGTGAGTTAACGAACGCCCTACAAATTCGATATTGCCGATTTGAACCTCAGGGGTTGGCGAAGAAATGGAAACAGTGGCTATGCTATTAACTGGCCACGCCCCCACCCCTGCTGGTTCACGGCAGACTAGAGACGTGCTCGGACTGTGAGTTTCCCCCAACAAATTTACGAGAAGAAACCTACCAAGGTGAAGAACGCGTGAGACAACGTGTACGATCACTTTTTTGAGACGCAGCAGCAGACCACGTTTGTTAACCGTACATCAGACAGTCCATCGAGTTCAAGCTGTAATTCTCGCACCTTCTTCGGTCGCTAAATCCGCTTAGACACTCAGCTCTCGCTGTCCTCGACGTGCTAGATCGTGTAAGTAGTGGCCAGATCTTCCCTTCGTGTCGCGAAATAACACTGTTCCACCGGGGCTTCTTAATGATAACTTCGAAAGCGAGGAACAGCACCGAATGTAGGCCATACCAGCAGCAGCATTGCAAGGAAACGGCCGTGGATGCATCGGTCGAGGCTCTCTTTGGCCCTGGATATCACCACAAGGGTTCCCTCTACTCACCCGACGATGACAAGAGCCATGGATCATGGCTGGCTGGAAAAGGAGTCGGTGATATGTAGATTGGGGATTTTATTCGGCGATGACTGAGGTTAGCACATCAGACGTGGTAAGCGGATATGTTGGACCATGGCCAGTAGTCGAATTCAAAGGGAAGAGGGAGGAAGCCGCGGTCGGAGTTTGAGAAGGCCAAGGGACCATTAGTAGGTGTACGCGGAGGATGCATCAAGGAGAATGACCAGGACATTGAAGGTAAAGATAACCTCACTCTGCCGACGAAGGGGTAATGGGATAAGCGGCCCTGGTGGGGGAATCTGGCGGTAGGACAACGCAAGAGTTGGAAGCCGTTACGGGTGAGACACGCCAGGATCAACACAGACAACTAAGGTGCGATGCGACGGCGAGCGGGATGCGCTGACAAAAGCGATAAAGTTAAAGTGACGGACCAAAACCGACCCGACACCACCATGTGCAAGGAGGGAGAGGAAGATAGATGCAGCGCCCATGCGGAGGCGTCTTGGGTTCCTCATTTGACTCGTTTGACGAGATGTGTAGTACACACGAGAAGGGGGGCACCTGGTATCAGATCCTGCTCCGGGTATGAATGTCAATCTGCAATCTGCTGCTGCGGTGCATTGTACGACCGTTTTGAGATCTGAGACTAGGCATGAGCCTGCGTGCTACGGGTACGACGAATTGACGAACGTGGATAGTTGGCAGTGTGAAGAGTACGTACTTGGTGCAACGTGCTAGTGATGCATCTAGTGATACCAACACGGCTAATAACCGACTGCTAACGGTGATGATGCTAGCTTCAACCTGTCGGAGCAGTCCCTGATCTCCAGTTGCGCCTTGGAGGTTTTGAGGAGCGGTATAAGAGCCGGGGTCATTTTAGACGGTTTTACTGTCCACTTTGGGACGGAGGGCGGGTGGTGGCCCGTGGGACAAACGCAAGGATATGGACATGGACAGAATGGCTGGATGGATGAAGGTACGCACCGGTATACCATATCATCTTATCCTCGCAGGTCAAATTCGAATTCAATAGGGTCGATCATCGTGAGATACACCACGTGTACGTGCGCCCTCCGCTTAGTCAGCAGGCTACCCGTGCATTTGCAGTGGCTGTGGGCACAGTCACCTGCAAATTTTTCGGAAATAAACTGACTTTGCAGTTGTCTCTATGATTATAAGCATTTGGTTTGGTCGCATAGATTAGCCAGCGACTCGGATTTGATCGAAATTTCACGTCGTTCAGAAGAGTTCCGTCTCCGCCGGGGCCCTGGCCGGCGTTTTATTATGTAATTGGAACTCACTTCGGTACACTCCGACTATCGAAGTCGGTTCAAATTGGTTCGGTTCGATTCAGTGCAAAAAAACACCTTGATACCCTCAGGTTTGCCATACTGCACCAGTCATCACGATCGTGGTGAAGAAAGGCTAAGGCACCATGCGCTATCAACACTTCCAGATCGACGAACCTGAGAAAAGGGTGGGAAAGCGGAACTCGTTCTTGATGTGGAAGCTAGGTCGATGTCATCAGTACCTGGACATGGACCCTTCCCGATCGGACGAAGTCAGTTTATTTCCGAAAAATTTGCAGGGCACTGCGCCCACAGCCACTGCAAATGCACGGGTAGCCCGCTGACTAAGTGCGCGGAGCACCGCAACTCAAGCGCACCAGTCTGAGACAGTCCGAAACTCGGAGATACTGGCGTGTGCCGTCATATCCAGACAGCCTGATTTATCAGTCAGAGGTTTGCGGGGAAATCTACATATATGTACCCCTGTATCTGCCTCCACCTCTGCTGCTCGATCCCGCGCTGCTAGTACCATGTCCATTGGCTATGAGGAACAAGCGTACGTCCCCCCAACCTACGAAACTCAACTGGGATACCCAAAAAAACCATAGGATAATACGCAGCAGTATTGGTTTGGCAGCCCTCAGTGCGTACCAGGGTGCCGTCGTCCTCTTGATGTCTTCAGCACTTACAAAACCGTATGTGTGGCGAAACAGCTTTCCTTCTCTACGACCACCTCATTACATTGGCGGAAGAGGTCACGTATATATGGGCTCATCCAAGGCATACATCCGCGATCTTATTCCTCATCAACCGGTATCTTGGGTGTTTCTTGGCAGTCACACAAACAGTGATGCTATTTGTCATTATGTCACCAGAGGTGCGGCTTATCTAGCTGATCACATTTATATCTTATCTTCATCGGATGTTTCGCTGTTTCTTCGTCCTCAGAGGTGCGGATCGATATTTTGCGACGTGACCTACACTCGACTGACGCATATCTATGCCTCCCCCCCCTCCTATTCTTGTGCTTTCCGGCGTAGATGCATCCAGTACACCCACTACCGTCGAGTATTGATCTTCATGAATCAAGCCATCGTGTGCAGTACGTGGCTGCATCATACAAGACCATGCCAATAGACTCACTTGGCATTATGGCAGCACTTTTCATTATTCGCACATACGCACTATACGGTGGAAATAAACGCCTCCTTGCGTTTCTTCTCTTCACCTCTCTCGCTCTGGTATCCCCAGTAGCTGTGCGTTTTCCCATCAGCGCTCTCCGATCTATCACCTTCACCCACTACTTCTCTTTAGTGGTCCCTTTCACGTCAGCAGGGAACGTCGGCAACCAACATACCTGGATGCCAGATGATCTACAACACTAACACGTTCGCCTTTTCTTCTTCTCTCTTCTAGTCAAATCGTGCTCACAACAGGATATTCTACAATCATGTAGCGCCATCCGTGAGTGCCAAAAGTTGTTTTCGTACTCAGCTAACACTTCACATATTTGATCTTAACACGTCCACACCACAGATCTTGCTATACCTCCGGAAGCGCTATGCATATTCGACACATTGATATTTGTGTTGACAGTGTATAAGACATTCAAGGTCGGTATGCGATCCAAAGCACACTCGAAACCCAACTTGGTTATGCTCCTTCTTCGTGATGGTGAGTCGTTGATTGGTTCGTGTCATAGCAACATTTTTGAGATTATACTTTCCGGAAAGGTGCCATTTATTTCGTGTGAGTTGTTGGATCCTTAGGCGGGTAACCACACAGTAGCTGAGCGAATGCATAAAACTTAAAAAGGATCGTGGCGATGGTTAATCTCGCCAATATCCTAACATTTTTTGTATATATGCTCGATTCTGTATCTATTAATCGGGGTGGCTCACGCGTTTAACAGGTTGCGCCTGTACGAACCTTTATTAAATCCCAACTATGACAATGTATGAGTCTCACCGAGAAAATGTTAGGAACTTTTGAGGGGCGGGTTAACCATAGTTTCGATATGGTCAGTACGCAGTTCTTTCCCATAGGATCATTTTGTTTACATTGTTCCTCTTTGTACGTCGACAGTATCGCCATTACGATGGTGTCCAGACTCATGCTCAACCTCCATAAAACTGCGGATGCTGGCATCTTCTCGTACAGAAAACACCTTACTGGCGGTGCTATATTCACGACCCAGTTTTTAGATTCAGAAGAAGGATGGGATCTTCCGACAGTGATGGATTGAGCACCTATTTGGACTCTTGACATCCCTCTCTCATATGTTCACACTGGTTGTACCATACAAGCTCACTTACTTCTTGGGTATCTCACTATTAAACCTCGTATTGACGCATCCTCGCTTAGCCGACGGCGTGAAAGATAGTGTCCATGTACTATCAAATGCCTATTCGGGGCCCGATTCGATGGTGCTGCCACTACGCAGCGGTGAGTGTTTGTTCATCTGTTCGTTCGTACCCAACTTTCATATTGTAGACGGTTACCCAAACCGCCAAAGTAAGGTTCTGTCACCATCTGAATCAGCCCGCGTCGCCCAATTGATCATTCCACCTGTCGGAGGAACAACAGAGAATCAATCTGTTCCACTGGACGCGTACACCGTGTCGAGACCACTCACCTAGCATTGGTGCAGTATTCCAGTGTTACGGAGTGACTGACTAGGGGCAGTTGAGTGCCATACTCCGTGTCGCCGGCACCTAATTCGGGTACAATAGTACCAACCTTTTGTTGAAAGCGATGTCGGGCTACTCTGACGGTTCTTGACCACGCCTCACATATCAAAACGGAACACCGTAGGCAAGTTGATCCCATCTACGAAGTCGACTCGACCCAGGCGGCTATGTAACGTGGATTGCCCGTCGCGCTCCACGTCATAAATGCCGACCGGCGCAAATTGGATCTGCAGGGTCCCGCTGCGACTTGAATTTAACCCTACCAACGTTAGTTAGCGAACACCCTACATATTCGAGACTGCCAATTTGGGCCTCAGGGGTTGGCGAAGGATGGGCAGAAAGGGAATGGAAACGCTGGCTATGTTAACTGGAGACGTGCGATTGTGAGCGTCCCAAAACAGATTTACGAGACACCTACCAAGGTCAAGAACGGGGCGAACATTCGTTGGCCATACATCAGGCAGTTGCACAGGTTTGGGTTCAAACTCCCGCACCTTCTTCGCATCGACACTCGGCTCTTGTTGTCCTCAACGTTCTAGATCGTGTAAGTATCTTCCCATTGTGTCGCGAAACAATGCTATTCCATAGGGCATTGTAATGGTTTCTTCGGATGCGAGGAACGGCACCAAACGCAGGCCATACCGACACGATCATAAATGCAACAAAGCAAAATGCATCGGCCGAGGCTCTCTTTGACCCTGAACATCATCACACGAGCTCCCTCTACTCACACGACGATGACAAGAGCCAAGAATCATGGCTGGCCGGAGGAGTCAGAGGTATGCAGGTTGATAGCTTTATTCGGTGATGACTTTGAGGTTAGCACATGATTTGTGGTAAGCGGACGCGTTGGGCCACGGCCAGTGGTCTAATTCGGAGGGGAAAGGGAAGAAGCCACAGTCTGAGCTTAGGAAGGCCAGGAGACGATTAGCAGGTGTGCTCGGAAGATGTGTCGATGAGAATGACCAGGGCATTGGAGGTGAAGACAACTTTACTCTGCCGATGAAGAAGTCGTAGGATAAAGCCCTAGTTGGGGGGCATCGGGTGGTAGGAAAAGTTGGAAACCTTTTTAAGTACGGGTGAGACAAGCCCAGATTGACACAGACAACTAAGGTGCAATGCGACGACGAGCGGGATACGTCGACATAAGCAACAAAGTCCAGGTGATGGAACGGTACCGATCGGACACCATCATGTACAAGGAGGGAGGATGCGAACTAGGTGCGGTGTTCACGAGGGGCATCTGACTGAGGCCCCGAGGACAAGGAACGTTTTTGGTCCTCAGGAGATTCCGAAGCCGTCCGAAGTGAAGACCAATACGGCTGGCATGGAGACTAGCAACTGTCATCGATTTTTCGGTAATACCTCGGAAAAATCTGTAATATAGTTCAAATAGCAAAGCGTGAGATGGAGAGCAATGAGTTACGGTAGTGTTCCCAGAGGCTGGCCAATTGATGCACTGTTTCATGTCTACATGTGCACTGTGTAGACTGTTTTGGATCGGAATGTTTGACGGCAGACCGGGCACAGCACCCACAAAACCTCAAGATACGTGCCACCTTGTCTTCGTAGGTAAAACCTGAACTCAAAAGGGTCGACCGTCGTGAGATTGACACCGCACCATGTGCAACTGAGCGGTACCTATCTAACTTCATCTGATAGAGGGAAGGGGGGTTATGTAGGTTACTGTGTAGTCGTCGGATGAGAGTGAGCGTCCACGGCGTCCCAGGCACTGATGCATGATGGACCCAGCTTTCACAAGTATTGAATGAGTTCCGCTTTTTTCCCTTTCGTCAGGCTCGTCAACCTGTAAGTGTTGAGGGCACGTGGTGCTTTGGTTTTTCTTTACCATGATCGTGACAGTGGTTGGTGCACATAGTGCGGGAAAACCTGAAACTATTATGATTCGGTATGTGTTAGTTGGACCACCTGGTTGGTGGACAAGTTCCCACAAGCCTTCAAGACCTCATCGACTGACTAACTAACTGCACGTACATACCCACGATCAGACTAACTTTGCCCATCGCCACGACGGCTTGACGTGCCAAGGAATCTCTCCCTGGCAGAACTCGTTTAAAAACCTCCCTCACAGTGTCGAAAACATGTGTATTAGTTCGAGGCTCCAGGGAAATCTACATATAGGTACCCCCCGCCCGCACGTACGAGTCCGAGTTGGGCGTTTTCCCTTCGCATCCGACTCTCCGTGCTGCTTCCACTTCTGCTGCTCGGCCCCCCGCTGCCAGCGTCATGTCTATTGACTATGAGGAACAAATGTATGTCCGTATCAACCCATGAAAACTGACGTACCTAAAAAAACTATAGGATAATACATAACAGCATCGGCTTCGCAGCCCTCTGTGCGTCTTGGGGTGCCGTCGCTCCTTTGATGTCTTCTTCAGCACTTACAAAACCGCATGTGTGCTGAAACAGCTTTTCTTCTCTACGACCACCTCATTACGTTGGCGGAAGAGGTCGCGTATATATGGGCACGTCCGAAGCGTGCATCCGCGATTTTATTCCTCGTCAACCGGTATCTCGGGTGTTTCTCAACAATCGCACAGGCAGTGATGTTACTTGCCGTTATGTCACCAGAGGTTCGGCTTATCTGGCCCTCGTGTTTCTGTCCTGTCTTATTCGAATATCTCGCAATTTCTTTGTCCTCAGAGGTATGGGTTGATGACGTTGCAACGTGGGCTATGCTTGACTGACGTATATCACAATACCTTCCCCCCCATTGTTGTGCTTGTCGCGCAGGTGTGTCCAGTACATCCACTACCGTCAAGTGTTGCTCTTCGTGAATCAAACCATCGTGTGTAGTAAGTGGTTGTGTCATGTGAGGTCATGCCAGTAGACGCAGTTCTCACCTGATATTATCGCAGTACTTTTCATGATTCGCACGTATGCGCTCTACGGTAGAAGCAAACGCCTCCTTGTTTTTTTTCTCCTCACCTCTCTCGCTCTGGCATCCCCAGTAGTTGTGCGTTTGTCCATCGGTTCTCTCAAATCTATCATCTTACTTCTCTTTCCAACTCTCCTAGTGGTCCCTTGTAGGTCAGCAAGCGACATCGGCAACCAACGTACCTGGCTGTCAGATGATTTACAACACCAACACGTTCGCCCTTTTCTCTCCCTCTTCTAGTCAAATCATGCTCACCACAGCATACGCCACGACCACCACAACCATCTAGTGCCATCCGTGAGTGCCCGCAGTTGTCTTCATATTCGGCCAACACCTCATCTATTCGATTTTAATACCCCTGCATCAAAGATCTCGCTGTACCTTACGAAGCGCTATGTGTATTTGACACACTGATATTTGGGTTGACAGCGTATAAGACGTTCGATGTCGGTGTACGATCCAATGCACACTCGAAACCCAACTTGGTTATGCTTCTCTTTCGCGATGGTGAGTCATCGATTGGTTCGTGTTGTAGCAACATTTTTGGGATTATATTTTCCGGGTAGGTGCAATATACTTCGCGTGAGTCGTTGGATTCTTGGGCGGATGGCCACGCAGTACGCTGAGCGAGCCCGTAAAACTTAAAAAGGATCGTGGCGATGGCGAATCTCGCCAATATCCTGTCGCTTTATGTATGTGTACTCGATTCTGTATCTATTATATCGGGGCGGCTCACACGGTTACATAAAAGGTCGCACCTGTATGTACCTTTATCAAGTCCTGACTATGACAGCGTGCGAGTCTCACCGAGGAAATGTTAGGAACTTTTGAAGGGCGGGCTCTCCACGATTTCGATATGGTGAGCACCCGGTTCCTTCTCATAGGACGCCTGTGCTTACATTGTTCCGTTTTGTATATCTCCAGTATCGCCATTACGATGGTGTCCAGACTCATGCTCAACCTCCATAAAACCACTGACACTGGGATCTTCTCATCACATAGACAGCACCTCACCGGTGGCCGTGGTGGCACGATATTCACGTCCCAGGTCTTAGGGCCTGATCAAGGATGGGATCTACCGACAGTAACGGATTAAACATGTATTTGGACTCTTAGCATAACTATCGCGTGCGTTCAGACTGGTTGTATCATACGAGCTCAATCATTCCTTGGGTGTCCCACTATTAAACCATGTATTGACATATCCTCGCTTAGACCAACAGAGTGCAAGATGCCCCCAGGATGTTGTCCCGTGTACCGTCAAATGTTTATTCAGGGTCAGGTTCGATGGTGCTAGGCCACTGTGCAATGGTGAGTGGTTATTCATCCGTTCGTTCGTACCCAACTTTCACATGATACATGGTTACCCAAACTGCTGAAACAAGACTCTGTCACCAAATGAGTTAGCACGCATCACCTAATTGATTATCCCATCCTTCAGAGGAACGACAGGAAATTGATCTGTTCCACAAGGCGTGTACACCGCATTGAGACTATTCATCGTAAGACTGGTGCAATATAATTTCACGAGCTTCGGGGGCGCTCAGCATGATTACCCATGCGAGACACGATGCAAAATCATTATGTCCAGGTCGGTCCGCCCATCGTGTCCGATCGATATCGTCATGATTTGAAATGCTGGAATCTGAGCTACGCAGAACGAGCGACCATTGCAAAGATGCATACACGGGGGGGCGCCCTTTTGCAAACTCGAAGAAAATGTACCTTGTACTATACGCTGTAACCAGTGTTTATCTTGTCGATGAAGCCACCTACGTACGCGTATGTCTAGGTAGGTGCAGTGATAGTCAGGCTACTGACCCCTACCTTGCGTGTCATCATTGGCCTATCATCGGATCATCAGTGTTACGGAGTGACTGACTAGGGGCGGTCGAGTCTCGCACTTCATATCACTGGCACCTAATTTGGGTACAATGCCAACTTGAACAATCGACCTACCACAATGAATCCTATGCCACCCCGTAGGCCTATGCTTGTATCTAATATTCTAACCCATTTTTATGTACCTTCTGTTATATTTTCAAGGAGTCATTGGTTCGTCGGGACGGGCTCTGACATGATCAATATTGTAGTTCTCGGAGATCCACATGACGGGCGATAATCCAGGAGATCGTCAACTATCTCCGGCTGATGTGTCAACTTGATATGATAAAACCCCAGCACGAGGCCTACCCTGAGCTCCATTCACCTCGCCTACCCCAGATCCTTCCTGATCATAGAGATTTGGCAGATCCGATGTCCACTCAGGGATTGTAAGTAGACAGTTTTGCTGTCAGCTCGACATACCCCCTGATTGAAGCATAAAAGCGATACTTTTACTAGCCTTGTTGTTGCATCACATGGTGAGCCGGGGATAATGTTTCCTCGCTGGTTCAGCGCCTAGTTCATAATTCTCCCCCAGTGCTGTTCATGTATGATTATGCACTTACATTTTCGAAGGAGATAGAACTTTTCTGGTTTCAAGATCGCTGGAATTGGGCATTCATCTTCTTCATTGCCAACAGATACATAGGCCTCCTTGGCCGTATACCAGGGTTTTTTTGGCTATTTTTCCCGAACAACAGTGGTCTAGATAATTCAGTACGTCGAAACAGTTCTCCGCATCTGGCCATGCTGACGCCCACTCAGTGGTGGGAGTAAATCAGACTTGGACCATGTCCTCACTTAATTGGCGTCGTGTATTATATAGGTGTTCGGGTTTGCTTCTCGCTGGAGAAGTCACCATGGAAGTTCTTCAAATCATCGGAGAAGGTAGGCATGTCATTTTATGGGACCCTTTCGATCTTCTTGACCAGCATGGCAGTGGTTATGACGGCACGTGTATATGCCATCTACAACCGAGACAGACGTATCGTGAGTCTCCTTGTCGTGGCAGCAGTGACTGCTCAGGGCTTGTACTGTGTGAGTGACACCGTGGAAATAATTTTGGTTTTGATCACGAAAACACCTATATCGTCCACCTCCATCTCAATCGGAGCAAATCGCAACACCTCAGGGCACCCTCGCTGGGTGTCCTAACCCGATGACTTCAGCAGAGTACGCCTAGCTCCTTGTAACATCCATTCCCATGTTTACATTTTAATACCCCAGGGCTTCGTGTAGGTGCAATCTTGTGCATACTATTTTGATGTATGTGTACCTCATGCACGCTTCGGTCTAGACTGGGCCGCAGCATGGGGTGGTCAACTGTTCTTTGATGCTGTAGTTTTCATCCTCACCCTTAAGAAGCTGACAAGTAGTCACTCCCTTGGAAGACGGACTTTCATGTCCTTGTTATTGCGTGATGGTGTGTTCTGTGTTTCGAAGTTGAAAATGCAGTGACTCAGTATTGGCAACAGGTGTTATGTACTTCGCGTACGTGTCCACTGTCTACGACGTCCGTGATTATATATATCTAGTATTTAGGATGTGGCAGGATAATGACTGCTGCAAACGACGCGAACATTACTACATATTTCGTGGTAAATGATCATTGCCAACTTGGTTTGTGTCGTAACTTGATTCTCCTTATCTAGATGGCAGATGTGAGCATTCAGCTCATCCCTTGGTTGCGCACTCAGAGTCTGACACTCCTAAAGCTATTCAACAAATCGATGTTATCCGCTCTGACGAACATGTGAGTGTTACGCACTGCTCGCGTTACCTGCAGTATGTCGCTTGTACATGATTTGGGCGCTTTCTCGAAGGCTTTGCGTGATGATGATTTCGAGGCTGATGCTGAATCTTCGGGATCTGGAGCGGAAGGTGGGTCTTATTTTGCATAGCATCAGATTTGGGTATGGATGGTTGTGTTACAGTTGACAGCTTAGCTACCGGAATGAGGGCTAGTGGTTCATGTCAGACAAGGTTTCGTCAACCATCCATGGAGACCCACACACCCAGCTACTACTCACATTCTGAGTTGTGGGGTACCATAGGTACTTCTTGTTCGGGTGTAATCTAGTATGCTGGTGGTGACTTATGCTCTATTCTACTAATGTCGCTCGGGTCACATTAGACAGTATTATTGCCATTACGGCTGGCACCTATACGGCAATACAATGACGGTTCATTACATCACTGTTGTGACCGGCCGATCGTCGTGTGAATCGTTAGACATTGAGCCACTAGTGAAGAACGAGCGACCAAAGACAAAAGTGGGGGGGAGCTCTTTTGCAAGCTCATCCTGTCGACGATACCTACCCATGTGTCATCTGTGATCATAATATCCCAACAGTCTGATACGATCAATCAAACATTTTGGTTTGAAGATCTACAACACGTTCAACAAGGCAGGCATCCCAAGGTGATAGCCACCACAAGACCAAAGCCAAACCGGAACAAGGCCGATGGAAATTATAGCCACTATCCTGCTTACCGGAAATGGTACCATGATGGACGCATAACTAGCACAATGTTGTAACGTGGGTCGCCCATCACGCTCCAAGTCATAAAATGGTGACCCCATCTAGTGCGGCACGGATTGGATCTGACTTGAATTTGCCTTACCAAAGTTAGTTAATGAACACCCTACATATTCGAGATTGCCATTTTGAACCTTGGGGATTGCGAAGAGTGGGGCAGAAAGGGAGAGCACGTACGATCACTTTTCCGAGACGGGCCAACAGACCACGTTCGTCCATACGTCAGACAGTTCCCCGGGTTCAAACTCAAATTCCTGCAACTGCTTCGCGTCGCCAAATCCGCTTTGACACTCTCGTTGTCCTCGACATTCCAGTCCGTGTAAATCGTGGCCGGATCTTCCCTTCGCGTCACGAAACAATACTATTCCGTAGCGCCTTGGTAATGATTTCTTCGAAAGCGAGGAATTACACCAAATGTAGGCCATACCAGCAGCATTGAAAAGAAAGACTGTGGATGCAACGAATACCAGTACTCACATGACGACGCCAAGGGCCATAGATCATGGCTGGCTGGAGAAGGAGTCGCTGATATGAAATTGATAGTTTTATTCGGCGATGACTTCGAGGTTGGCCATGACGTATAGTAAGCGGATGTGTTGGACCACGGCCAATGCTCGGATTCAAGGGGACAAGGGAGGGAGCCGCGGCCTGGGCCCGAGAAGGCCAGGAGACAATTGGTAAGTGTACTCGGAGGATGTATCGATGAAAATGACCAGGGAATTGGAGGTGAAGGTACCTTTAGTCTGCCGATGAGGGGGTTGTGGGATAAGCGGCTCTAGTTGGGGCATCGGGCAGTAGAAGGCTTTGCGGGCGAAACACACCAGGATCGATACGGACGACTAAGGTGCAATGTGACGACGAGCAGAGTACGTTGACAAAGGCAACAGAGTCCAAGTGATGGACCAAAACCGATCGGACACCACGACGTGCAAGGATGATATGGATGCGGTGTTCACGAGGGACATCTTGAGGGGGCAAATACTTTTTGCGTGGTCCTCGACTCGGATTTCCCACCACGGCGCTCCCTGGAACGCTGGTCTCTGCGTCTGTCACGTCGCCTCCAACCCTCCAACACGCTGGCCATTGCGAACGGTCACATCGAAGACGGCGACGAGGCAACGCTTATGTAACGTTCAACACACGTGATGATGCTTACCAATGCGTCAACGGCTATGGTGACACCTCACCCTGACCACGTACCTCCAGCAGACGGTACCCTACAACTCCTATCTGCGTTATAAGCCAATCTCATTCCAATTCCTCGCCAGAGGCCGACAGCTCAGAACTCGAAAACGAAGACAAGGGCATAGGCCAGAAGCTATCCCTTGTGGCTGACAACGTCTAACTATAGTAGAGAGCGTGATGCGCTGTGGGCTGGTTTCCAAGCATCGGTTTCTACCCCCACGTCGCCGCCAAAGGAGCAGGAATCAACCTGGAGCTGGTGAAAATTGAGAAGTGATACCTATTCGCAGGGAAGCATGTAACGTGGGTGCATAGTAGCGTCCCGTATATCATCCGATAAGACTGGAACTGACGTGTGTATAGAGAAATTGTTGGGGTTCCAGCAGGATCGGAAGATGCGAAGAAGTGACGACCACACGAGTCCGACTTCACCGGCGAAAGGGCGGAAGACGGGAGACCTCTATCTGCTACGCCAGACCCTGCTTCGAAGTCAACCTCTGGAACACGACTCGGTTCTCGGAAAGCTCGCACCACGCTCCCAGCCCTCCCCTCGCCAGGCTCTTCCAAAACCAAGAAGATTACTACACCCGACAGGCCGGCAATGGACTGGAGGGCTCACCTCGCTTCGCAATCGAGCGATTGCGGCGAGATGTACTGGAAGGCTCTAATTCAAACAAACGAAGGAGGATATAGTTTATGGATATTTGGCTGCACGAGATGCGACAAATGCTGTGTATGCTATGACCCGTTGGTATTCGCGGTTTGAGGGATTACTCGTACAGAGCATGGCTAAGTATTGAATCTTCTGACGGTCAAGGCAAGTTCCTTGAATAAACCGCATTCCGCCGTATCACAGTACTTCCGCGAGGCTTCTCTGAACCAGTGCGTGATTTGATTTTGACAGGTTGCGGCAGTGGGATATTTTCTCGGCGCTTCGCTGGCAGGGTTGTTAACTCTAATTCTACTCTTCATGCCCAGTATTTCCACGACAACTTGCACAGCACCAGCCACATCCTAGTAATATCTCAAGCCCGGCCGTTCTGTGTAAGGCAAACATGTATGATTATTATATGAAGGTACGTGTCCCCTGCTCTGCACTAAGAGTTCAGCCAACTAGCTAGTGTCATGTCAATGGCACAAACCGGGTTCGGGACGTAGGCTAGGCAACATTCCGCCACCATCAAGTACTTCACAGATGGTATTAGACCCCCGACGGTCGCAGCAGTTTTAGTTTCGGCCGCGCCTGGCGTCGAACGTTTGTCTTCGCTATCCTGCATGAATTGACCACATCCCCTGCCAGCTACTGGGCGCCACGGAAAACGTGTGTTGTGCACACCTCACATATGTCCCCAATCATGTCGTTACAAGCTGGATAAAGGAATATGGCGTTGCCACACCCAAGGACGTCACTCTTAGGTTTGAATGCACCAGGCTCAAGAAGGGCAGACCAATATGTGCGCTATTCACCTCCCATGGTATTCGACATCCACGGGACGGGGATCCTGCGAGTTGAATTTTTACGTTGAACCTCACGTTTATACGTCGTATAAATCACGCATTTGGCTTCATCCAAAAAGCATATTGGTACTGTAAGGTGTTCCTAGGGAATGAGTTTACTGGATGGTCATAATGGCACTTGCGCCCCCAAATTCATCGCTTGTCTCGTAGATTTATGAATGCCAATGCAATTCATTTTCGTGTAAATAAAGGTAATGTGACGAATTCACGATAGTACTCTTCCAATTACGCGTCCTCGACGAAGCAATATGTCAAGGTGTGCCCAAGAGAGATTACATAACTAGTCTCTGCAGGTTCGCGCTCGAAATCAGACCCCCTCTTGCTTCTCTTAGGAATTACGGCTGGTCATAGGAGGTCATTGGTACACCTGACTCTCGACTCGCTCGAGAACTCCGTGAATAGACTCATCCGAACCACCTTGTCCACAATGTGCCGATCTATGCCCACAGACAATGCGACGAGTCAAAATCATCTTCGAACAACCACCGATTCTGTGGGTTGGAGATTGCCGTAGCCTTGAGTTCATTGTACTGGTGGACGGTCCGTGCCTCGTGCAATAATCTGTGTTATTGCAGTGGTGGCAGTGCAAATGGACGTCTTTTGCTTCCGAACTTGTCTACCGCTGACCACTGGCACAACTTGCATACTTGCATTGACCGTATATCGGTGAGTCAACGATCATTCTTCACAAATGAACAATACGCGGCGGATATGGGCGACGGGAGCATGCAGCGCCTTTACAGTAGCCTGCATATATTGCAAGCCCGGGAACAGATGGAACTCATCCGAGCACCTCCCCCCTCCCGTTACAAACCATGACTTCCATTCGCGAAAGCTCATCTAAATCAGCTCCAGCAACCAACGTCGGCAGCACACCGATCACGCAACGAGCCCGCACTGCGCATTACAGCTGCGAGCCGCCTCCTCTACAGGATAAAATGAAGGCAACGCTTGCAGAGGAAACGAAGCGCAGATATGTTGGTCCAGTGGACGTCTCGCAGTTCCTGGAGGACTATTTGCCTTGCTCGAACTCCACGCCTTCTATTCCTTCTCTCAGCGAGCAGGAACTCAACGCTCTCCAGGAGGTTGCCGACGCAACATCGGAAAATAATATGTATGAGCCATTCGTAAGTGTCCTATCACTATTTTTTTCCATTTCCTTTGACGTAGATTGTCGATGTAGAAAACAGCGTTGCAGAGATATGCGCATGGTATGATATTTACGAATACTAGCAGCAACTCAGCAAAGGATTCTTTCCCACTCAAACCGGACTTGTGTCTCTACGAGGCCGCGGACACTTCTCAAAAGACGGATTTCTCCACAGCAGAGCTATGCATAGAGCTTAAACCCCACATGTCGTACGACCCTTTCACGGATCTCGACCCGAACACAAGCAACGATCCATTCGAAAGAGATACCGTTCACGCCAACAACACGCGAGGCCAGATTACTACGTACGCGGTCGCGCAGTTCAACTCCCAGTTTCGAATCTTCGCATTCTCGATTGTGGTCTTCAACGATCACGCGCGGTTTGTCCGATGGGACCGCGCCGGTGCAGTCGTCAGCACCCGGTTCAATTATGTGCAGAATTCGAACCTTCTGACCGATTTTATCTGGAGGTTTTCTCACTTATCGCGTGAAGAGAGAGGCCATGACCGATCTGTGTCTCCTGCGAAACTTTCTAAGCAAGAAACGCAAAAAGTTCGACAGGCTTTAGGTTTGAAGGCAGGGACGCCTCTTTTCGCTTTCACGGTCCCGCACGAGGACGGGGACACAGTGTTCTATGGCCCTCGTTTCCCCTTCCCTGTTCGCTCTCTCGTCGGTCGGTCGACTCGCACAGTGCCGGTCTGTGACTTCATCAACGGTGAACCTCGTAAGCTGTTTCTGAAGGAATACTGGAGGCCGGAGGGGATGCGGGGTGAAATCGAGATCTATCAACATTTAATAAGACATAACGTTGAACACATCGCACCACTGGTGTGTGGAGGTGACGTGCCTCGTGGTGAGACAAGAACACATGAGCACGCCAAGACACGCCCAATTAGTCACCGGCTCCTCCACAGGCTGGTGCTTGATTTCGTGGGACGCCGTCTCACTGAATTCAAGTCCACGAAAGAGCTGGCGCAGGCAGTGCTCCATGCTATGACGGGTCAGCCACTTTTTTCTTATCATATGGGTTATCGTTCCAGCTAACTCGTTTCTGGATGCAGCCCATTGGTTGGCTTTCGACAAAGCGGGGATCCTGCATCGTGACGTCAGTGTAAACAATATCCTTATCAACGACGATGGCCAAGGTGTTTTGATCGATTGGGAGCTCGCGATTTTTTATGATGAATATTCTGCAGGACGCAGAAATCACGATCGCACGGTGAATGACTATTGTTCTGATGTTTCTTAAATGATTCTGACGTTTCGGACAGGGAACCTGGCAGTTCATCTCAGCCGCTTTGCTCAGGAATCATGGGGAGATTCACGACCTCAAGGACGATATAGAGTCCTTTGTACACGTGCTCGGCTGGTCCTTCCTCCGCTATGCCCCCTTCCCCTTGAGTGGCAATTCACGCAAGAGGATGTTAGTGACGCTGTACGACACGAGCTTTCCGGCTGATGGAGGTGGGCTGTCTGGCAATGACGTGAAAGAAAAAGATCTCGCGAGTGGCAACTACATGGTGTCTGCTGATCTCAAACAGCCATCACCGATTCTTGAGCTGATACGGACCCTTGCCTCGCCCTTCCGAGCACGATACGGCGAACCACCTACTGCAAGCCAAACTGAAAGGTACCAGCGTCTCAAAGAGAAGGTCGCTAAAGGACTTTGTGACCAAGGGGATGTTGAGGACCATCCGGCACATACGTACCAATTGGGTATGGAGCGGTTGAAAAATTCGGAATGGTTCCTTGACACTATCAAGGATGCTCTCAGGCGCCCAGATTGGCCCGAGAAGGATGCAGCTGATGCTCACTTGTTACCGATCACCGAAGGCACGTCCAAGCAACAACAGCTTGCGGCACAGCGTGTTGAAACTCAGTCTCAACTACTCTCTGCATCTTCGCATCCATCGGGGTCACTGAAGCGGTCGGCTAGTCCTCCCCCGCCGGACGTACAACACAAACGCTCTCGCTTGGATGACAGCTCTGACAAGGCTCTGGAATAGGTCAGTTGGAAATTGTGTATACCGTAGTACAATATCACTGTGACAACATTGCCATCTTCGGTTTTCCTTCTGCTCAAACGGCAATGAACAACATTTATGGAGAAGTTGTAGTACATCGAAAAATCTTTCATCATGATCAGTTCAGTCTGTTTTTGCCTATGGACATGTCTATGGAAGGGCTTGTAGCTACCAGAAAATTTGTGGTAACGGGCAGGGGAGAGGAAATTTCTTTGCAATCACACACACTCAGCGTCGCTCTCGGGTAGCTCTGCCCACCAGCCAAGGCTGTTATCAGACTGAAAATCAGTGTCAGCAAAATGGAGGTGGCGAACCCTTACGCAGTGGCAATAAGGGAAACAGTCATTTCACATCAAAACGCTCCTACAAGTACAATCAAGACAACGAGTACACAGTACGAATCACCAGGACGACCATTCAAATATCTAGACTTTGGATGTACGCAGAGGTTTCCTGGTTTAACTTGTCCTCGACGGCCGATCTAATGTTGTTCATGACTATCTGCGACAGAATAACTTTCACGCCGACTACAACACGGTGCATCATTTGGGGAATATGATAAGTTTGCTTACACACGTTTATTCACTTGGGCTTCGATGTCTTTAATGCTGGAGATCACATAATCATCTACCGGGGCGCTGCATTGGAACGCAAATGCAGAAACACGCATTGTCAGTACTCCGTTGGTAACCCTTTCAGAGTCATGACATCAGCCCTAGTGCAAAGCAAATCAAGTGAGAGGTGCATACGTTGCCGCATTCACAACAAAGGACCCAGATGTGCCATCGGCCGTGAAAGGCCGGAAGAATTGAAGCTTTTCTTCATGACTTTGAAGCGATACCATCGCTTTGGAAACGACAGATTTCACTGCGTCACGATAAAGTGAATCCTTTTCGACATTTGCCTTCACGTAGTCACCAAAGTTGTCGACACCGGCAGTTTGACCGTTGACATATTCATTGGACCACCTGACATGTTATTAGATCATAATGACCGACAAAATAATAACACACCACCTACTCAGCCTGCTGCTGGACCCACCCTATTTTGGTAAGAGTCTCGACAACTATTTGCCAGTACTTTTCGTTATCACCGGACCCCACTTGCTGATCGGCAGTGCAAAGGGCAAGTTCGAGGGAGTTAGCAACATCCGTCTAAAACAATGGTAGTGAGGCATCCGTACGTTGGATTCATCCTGTGAAGGGTGAACTCACGCGGTTTAGCGCGGAAAGTTGTCAAGGACGGAGACCACTACGCGACCAATGGTGGCAGCGCCTTCTTTGTCGGTTTCACCCAAATACTTTCCACGATCTAGTACGTAGAGCGTGACTGATTTTGTGGGGGACATATGATCTTGCCGACGTACCTTTTGACATGCTTGACTTTATAGAAATAGTTCAAACCAGACGCAGCGGGTTGTGGTATCAGAACTAATCGACCTGACTTTATACCCATAATCCACACAGGTGGGAACATGAGGGTACCTTCTGAGAAGGCTCCACAGTCAGAATGCGATTATCACCCGAGTGGGACCTGTGCGGTTGATGGCGACAACGCCCCATCAAGCTGCGACACCCCATACTTACAGGGGTAAGTAAGATAATGATAATTCAAAAACCTGCAGGGAGGACATCACCATTCGGATCAGAAATTCATGAAGCGAATTAGAAGAACAATATCTAAGGGCTTGACCACTTACATATGCAGGAGAGGAACTGAGCGACCTAATATGTATCTGCGAAACTAGAACTCGAGCAAGCCGAGGAGAATTCCAGTCCATGCTTCCATTTGGAAGTGACTAGCATGTAATAGGCCACTCCCTTCGTGGTGGTTAAAGCACTGAGCTGGCCAAGGACCCTCCCAACCGCAAAAGTTGCATTCGGTTACTGGCAGTCACTCGAACAGCCCAGTCAGTGCTAAGCCTAATGCGGTAAATTGGTCACGTGACATGACATCCCACGTGGGGCGGGCTGAGCTATGGGGTACGGCCGCGGAGATGCTAGTGTGACACGACCTCAACGCCGCCCGCCCAAACGTTGAGACAGGGGTTGGGGTAGTTGGTTCACATGGACTAATCGACTTCGAGGTCTTTACCTGGGGCCGCCGCCTATGGTTGAAGCCCCTAGCTTTGTCTACGCATCATCAGAGTTGGCATAATGTCCCCTGTCTTTGCAGCTCCTCCCCAGAAGTTTGCTTTTCCCCTCCAGACCTCCTAACCTGTTCCCGTCATCCCACTAGGTGGGCCGTTTCCAGTAGCGACCGTTTCTTACTCTCCTGACCCGTCTCTCGAGTTGCATCCATCCAACATGTCGTTTGAACAGGGGTTCAGGCATTGGTTACAGGTTTGCAAAAATGCTAGCCATCCTCGCAGTCTCCTGGCAACCAACAATTTCCAGGCATCCGATTCAGAGCCAAGTTCGTCCCCTCGCGAGTACGGTCCAGATAATGACGAGATTCCCGCCTCACCATCCCCGCCATCTTCCGTCGCGTCGGATTCATCTGCGCCCGAAAGTCAAAAGTTGCTGGCGCGTCAGGCTGATCCGCATGGTGGCCAATGTCTCATTACGAATTCGACTACTCAAGCTGCCGTTCAGATGTGCCACCTGGTGGACCGCTCCACGGAGCGCTCAATCGTCCGCCCCTTTCTTTATTATTCCTCAGAATACCATTTGCTTATATGTCTGTAGTTAACGCGCCTCGAATATGCATGGGGCCTACCTTATGGCCAACTCAACATTGATTCGTGCTATAACCTGATTTTCTGTGAGTAGTACTGTACATGTCTATGCTTCCTACCGCTGACTTTGTTGCAGTACGCGCAGACTGGCATGTCTTGTTCAAGCACACCAAACCTCATTGCATGTTGATCCCGATGCTCAACATTTTGCAAAAGCTTGAGGAGACAACGAATACGAGTGCAAATGATCAAGTTCGAGCTGCCGTTAATCTTCAGGAGGTATGCACAGTCGTGTTTGTGTTGCTTTCGATATCGATGCCTTCACAGACTTTCCGAAATGAGAATTTCCTGTACCACCTACTTCCCACTAAACACGTGAAGCCGGATGATATCATTTGTCGCGTTGAAGGCGCGAACTACGTGGCCCATCCACCTCCCTTTACTACTCTAAGTCCCCTCGTCAGTCACGTCCATCCACAGTATGCTGTGGTCAATGCCGCACAGAAGTTTCAAAAGATTGGACGAATTAGTCCCAGTGAGCTCTTGAACTTACCGGTTGTTCTTGCAGAAATTTCAGGTGAACCCCTGGAAACTGCTTTGAAGCGGATCTACTTGATTTCGAAGTTGTATGACGAGTGGACCGGGGATGGAGGTTCTCCCAGCAGCGGCAGTGAAAGGAGCAGCATCAGTTGCTCTTCGGAGCCTCATGGACTGTAATATCGAATATGCATTTCACCAACATAGTATCATGTACAGCGGAGTGAATATATTTGTTCAAGTGCGGGTGTCAGGCGTCTCCTTCAAGGAATAACTGCCCACCCAAGGCTTTGTGTTCTCTCCAAGATACGCAGCAAACTTGTCCGCAACGCTCTGCTCATCCAATCTGCCCGACCCTTCCTTGTTGTACCAAGCGTAATCGCTTTCATATGCAACGTTACAAACCGCCTCTTCAACCTCTGCAGTTCCGACATTACGCGGGGGAAGGGTTATACGGACGTCCGGCATAGAGGAGAAAGTGACGGTGGTCCTGCTGTCGAGTGAGCCGGAGTTAGCCTGTTTGGAGACGAGGGCGGAGACGATCAAAGTGGTGGCGTGTTCGAGTGTACGCAGGGCGTCAATCGGAGCTTTTGCCACCCGTAGCAGAGAAGTATTCCCGCAGTTATCGCTTCCAGTACGTCTTCATCTGTCCATGACGCGGAAAAAAAGGGGAAGTCCCATCGAACCATCGAAGAGCGTTCTTCACAGCGCTGCAGCAGGTTCGCGAGGCTAGTGACGTGAGTGAATAAGGTTGTAGTGTGCAAGAGGTCGACGACGCACGTCTCTGGGGCATATGCTTCCCCATCTGTGCGTTCGCTGTTCCATTGCTTGCAAGATCGGGCGTAGCGAGCACGTACACCTGCGCCTACCCTGGTCAGCCGCAGTTAGCATATGGAATGAGGATGCATTAGATACTCACTATAGAAGACTTTGATCTCCCTCGCAGCACCATCAATATCTGATACCGGAATCCCTTGAAGTAGTTCAATGAATCGACGATGACAGTCTTGTTCTGAACCAAGTTACGTTGGACAGCTGTGAAGAGCGTTCCGCGAGCTGGTTTGGGCCCGCAGTGTGTTTCTATTATCTCTCTTCTGCCCGCCGTTCTTATATTTCTCTTACTTACCTGAAGTACTTTTTATGCGACGTAATGCAGGAACAGTCCGTCCTGGACTGGTCCCAGTTCAGCTGCCCCCAATCTCGGATTTTCCAACTCAACGCTCCCTAACACGCTCTACGTCTGTTGCGTCGCTTCCAACCCCACCACGCGCTCGCCACAAACGTTCGCGTGGGTAGACACGCTCGCCCACGTCGAGACATGTCGCTGATGAGAGCGATAGTAACAGCGACTGGGCATCAAGTGAGGACAGCGCTTACGCCACACGCATCAGCCGCGTCAAGAGCAAAAGCAGTGGCGATGAAGCCAGTCAGCCACTCGACGTCCCCGTGAAGCGCACGGCATTCGTTCTTTCTAGTCATGACGACGATGAGGAAGAGGAGACGGCATTTTGGATGGGACGTAAGCGTCAGGATGGCGAAGAGGGAAAAAAGGAGTCAGAGCAGGGCGAGCCACTCGAGTCTTCTCCCCGTCCTGCGCTACTACACTACAACTTCAAAGGACCCGTATCCTCTCCATCCCGCCGTCAGCCTCGGGTTCCCCCGAACCGTGCAACTTCCATTGAACCACCCACAGCAGCTCCGTCGACACCCCCTCGCACACTCTTCCTACGCGGCCCCCCTCGCTATGTAAGACACCCGCCCCGAAAGCGAAGAAGACATGGCCCAAGAAGTCGCCTACCCGTGATTCACCTGACAATCCTTTCCTCAACAACGACACTGGTGTGCTGAACAATGAGCCCGAGTGAATGGGATTGTACGGACGACGAGGCATGCCAACTAGTTACCGAAGCCCGTTTGCAAAGAGGGGGAGATTGCACCTGTATCATCTTACGGGGAGAGGCCGACTATCATATACGTATTGTAAGTCTTGCGGCTAACTCCGATGCAATCGTCCATTGATTATTCCATCCATCACAGTCGCAGCCAAAAAGCAACGATGGCAAACCCGTTGTATAGTGTTTCACCAGATGCGGTGGCGGCATCGTAGCTACTCATTAATCATCTTGATTACGTACCACCGGAGGTGTGCCCTCCCAAGCGACTGTTTTTCTCAGGGGGAAAGCGCAAAACTAGGGATAACAGTCGTGATAGCATCGGATTTTCAGAAGGCGCTAAGGAAGTCGAGGCGCGCGTGTCTGATAGTGATGGAGACGGCCCCCGATCGGGAGGAGAAGAAGTTAAGGTGGACAACAAGATCGTCTTACCAAGCGACGAGGATTGTGAACCTGTTTTCACAAAGCCTCCCCGTGAACCCTCTCAGCACTGGCCAGATCCTGAACAGGAGTCAGACGCAAGAGAGGCCCTGCGCTGAGCTCGTGAAGCGTGCGAGCGCAGAGTTAGAGCTGACAAAGAGCGTCTTGGTCAATCGGAAGGTTTGCGCGCTGGCGCGGTCGTCACGCAGAGGGATGATCCCATCAGACGGGCTTGTGCCCCGCCCCGCAACGCTTGATGCTATGGGGCTTAGTCCCTCCTATCTGCTTGCTCGTTTTTTAAACTATTCTCTTCTCGTTCTTGCCTCAGGGACCTTCTTGATTCTGCGATACCTGTGTATTCTCCGTCGGTTTGGTTCTTTCTCGACGTTGTCTCCATCCTCGCTGTGCCACTTCCCCACAGAGCCATCCTATCCCCTGCGATCCGTTCCTACATAACACATACACACATATCCACACATCCCCGCGACACCTCCAACTGCACACATTCCCCTCCGCCTCCCCACATGTCACGTTTATCTTAGTCCCCTATGTTATCCTATGCTCAATTCAAATCCGTGGGTACGCATTGTCCCTCGCTCGTTTTATATTCCAAGTAACGTATATGTGTAATATATGTACTTGTGCTTAGGTACTAATACACTGCTGGCACAGATATCAAACGGGAACACAACCGAAACACGAAGAGGTGGGATAGGAATGTGCGTCACGAGTACAGCCTATACAACCTCAGGTATCAGCACTTCACTATCTAAGACACTGGTCAGATCCTGAGGACAAGCAGTAATCATACAGTCGCTTGCGATTCTCCTGTACTCATTGTGAGGCAGCTTCTCGAGTAGAAGTGCGTTGAATGGTTGCTTCAGCTGTTCCAACAGCTCCCACATAGCGTCGTGATCGCCACCGGTTTGCGTCGCGAGCGCTTTTGGATCCCAAGGACGAACAAGAATATATCTACCGGCACCCTTGTCAAGGTTGACCGACATTGTGACCTTGGGGAGCGTCAGGCGCGACGCGTGAATCTCGTACGTGTAACGTGAGGGGCTAGTCGATGTCCCTTGTAGTTTGACCACAGTGACCGGGTGGATGGTGCAGGGCAACAAAAGCCTGCGGTTAAAAAATCCGGCCCGTGGCAATCTTGCAAGGTTACTGTACAATTTTTGTGCTCTTTCAAGATCCAGATCAGTGTGTTTGGCAGGGTTACTGGGGGTCAGCTGGATGTAAGGTACCGCCTGATACGGCAAGAGACTGGCAGGGAAGCAGCTGTTGAACGATGATGCCTGCCCAACCCAATCCAGAACCGAAATGTCTCCAGAACGAGAGATGATCTCTGCCAGGAGGCGTCCGAGGGCATTCTCCACAGATTCGCCATAGAGGACTGGTAAGTGAACCTTGAAGATTCCAAAAAGTGAGTAGGCAATATCTTCTGGTCGAGTGGTACTACGGCCTGATGCCCAGTGGAGCCTGGTCCGCGCGTCGTCCACGCCGGGATAGAAATAGTTAAGGTGCTGTTCTGCTACTCCCGTTGCCTTCTGGAGCTCCTCGAGCACGGAAGGATCTGTTTTATGGTTCGCGGTGTCACTCTTCATGTAGAGTGACCAGTCATACGTATAGAAGAGGATGGCGTGTGAAGCCAACAGTTCTTGAAGTGTCCAGCCTCGCCTGAACCAGACACTATCGGCAAGCGAACCAGCCTCGAAGACATCGGGAAGGTACACGATCGTCAGGGACGACCGGCGGTACCAGGAAAACATAGACCCAATCGCTTCCTGTAATTCGGCGCTGCTATCTTTGTCGATGCAACACGTATCGCTCCATGCCCACTGGATATGACGTTCGAGTGCATGAAGACAAAATTCTTGGAGCTTTACCAGACCGTCGGTGCCGCGCAAGTCATAGATATTTTTGCCTTCAATTTCGCGTAGCAAGGGCTCGCGACTCCCCCACCTGTGAGACAGCATGGCAATTTGAAAGAAGTCTGCAACCACACTGCCGATCTCCATTTGCAGCTGCTGCCTGGTGAGTGAAGAGGCTGACGATAGAAGCCGTTCGTATTGAGGACTATCTTCGAAATAAGAGAGCTGAGCATCTCGGTTACACATGGCCCCTGTCGGAGTGTGTAGCAGGCGCGGCGGGAGGTTTTCAACAGTTTCGAAAAAACTCTTTTTGATGAATTGCCTAATATCAGAAGAACAGGATGACGAAAGCTCAATCTGGGCTCCCTTTGAGCGAGCCCGGACATCCCCCGTTCTGACCTTCGCTTTGAAGCAACGTGCAAGACACCCCTGCGACAACGCATGATCAGGGTGCCCTGGACGGCACAGCCCCGACGCAGTATGCGCCAAGCTAATGGCCTCATCGATGTCGGCCACTAAACCCTGTTGTTGGAATTTTTCGTGAAGGGAGTCAGCGAGACTGAGAAGGGACCTGCATCGATTCGGTAGAGGAGTGTGTTCTAATGCAGCCCGGCGAAGAGATACGATCTCTTCCAGATCCACCATGGAACCTTCCTTCCTGAAGCGTTCATAAAGGCAATCGTCAAGTTTGAGAAGAATTCCTTGTCTCTGAGGGTCGGTTGAGACCATGTATTCTGACGCTGCTCGCCTAATTGTGATTACTTCATCTAAATCCTCTTTCGTTCCTTCCTTTTCGAACCGTTCAGATAGGAGATCAGCGAGATGGATGAGGGCATGATGGTGTTGTGCGTGACCTGGTGGAGTTAATTCCAGTACAGTTCGCCCGAACATGATTAACGTATCCAAACTGCTGTTCCTCCTCTGCCCCCTGAACTCTTCAACAAGGCGATCGGCAAGATTTTCCACAGCTGGGCGACTACCTGGGGGTTGCATGGGCATACCTTTCAAGGTAGGTCCGATCGGAGCGGAGATAGCCTCTTTTACCTACGTATGAATGGAAACACAAGTTATTTCCCACAAAGATTGAATGCAATTAAGGAGTGATGTACCTGAGTCCCAGCTGTATCCTTGGCCTCTGTCTTCCCAACAGAGCTCGCGGAATTGTTTCCTGGAACTCCTATGTTTCCATTATTGCAGGATGCCAAGAGTTCCTGAACGACGCCCCACGCCGTCTCGGGCTTGCCATCAAAGGGCTTTCCGTCAGGCAACGTGCTACAAAACTGTGCACCTTCATCATTGGCTTGACGTCGAAACTGAGTCACTGATGTTTCCATTCTCTTTCTCGACAACCATGCGATGTGGTACGAAGTCGGGACGACGCGAATGACGCTTGGAATGAGATTTGGACGGCATGTTCGTCGGAAAGCACCAAGATGTTTCGAGACTTCCAGGTTTGAGTCACCTGCACTGAATGCAAGGTTATGCATGTACAACACTCCAACCGCTTTGCACGGCTTAGTATAGCTAACAGATAGGTTATTCACTGCATGGTGTGTGCGGGGAGTATATCTTACTTTGAATCCATCCACTGTTTCAATGACTCCTCCCCATCTCCGCCTTCGGTGTAAAAAGATGGCGTCTTTACGATAACGATGTCACCTTGCATTCCATCGAAACGGCACCGTTCTACATGAACCTCTGTGGTGTCGGGATTCTGGATATTGCTGGCTCGAACGTGAACGTTTTCGTGTTGCAAAAGGGTTTTCATAAACTGGTGGAACACAAACGGATGGACGGTAAGCGACGGAATCGAACAGAATAGATGTGGAATCTACCGGACTCTTTCCCGAACCACTGGGACCTATGATGCTAGTCGCGCTCTTAGTTCTACTGCGTCACCGAAGATAGCATCAGTGCACTCACAATACTACGTTATCTGTCGGTAAAATGACGGTCGTCTTTTTAGACCCGCGAAACTTATCTAGCAGACCCATCTAGCGAACGGCAACTGAGGATTTCGCGTGAGTCGCAAGGGTGGGACAATGTGACTTCGTCCACATGTAACGCTTGTGGCTGACAATATTGATCAGAGAACATTCCTGAACTCTCCAGCAGGCACTACCGTTTTTATGGAAAGCCGGACAACCGCGCTTCGCTAGGTCTTATTTTAGATGGTTTTCGGGCATCTGCCGGACATCTGCAGCACATTTTTTCGAAGTTCGGCCGGTAGAGGGACACCAGACACTGCGGTAGTGCAGATGTTGGTCACGTAGTCACGCAGCAGCACAGTAGGTGGGAATGCAGATATGATGCCCAGTGAAAACTGGTTATCACCCTGTGTGACCCTAGCTAATGAGATATGAAATCAATATGAAAAATATGACATGGTGAATAATGTTTATGAGACTTTCCTTTTATGGACTGTGCGATGTAGTGATGTGTGATGTGATATGTAGCATTGACTGCATACACAGCCCCTCCGGGCACCCCTGGATGTGCCTTGCAGTATTTACAATCAGATACAGGGCAAGCTCTCTGACTAAACAACTGCTATATAATTGTATCTGTCTGATTTGCCTAGTTATTTTCAAAACTCACATGACTACCACAGAATCTGCTCGTTGCAGAGAGGCCCTAGATGGAAGAGATCAGATGTTGCTTGAGAATGCTACAGAAGGAAATGTATGAGTCATCAGTGACAACCTTGTGTTGTGGCCAAAGAAAACCACCTGCTGAACCACACACCCTTCCACCCAGGAGCCAATCGACATTCATGATGCCATACTGCAAGAAAATATGTCCTGGCAATGTGCATGCTTGAGAGAGGGACTGAGTGTCGATCCACAAGCAATCAGTGTTGGTGATTGAGCAGCATTTGGATCTGCAATAGCCACCCCTGTCATGCATGTTGGCACATGTCACAAATTTGTTCAGTACCATTATGATGCCAGCAACCTTGACTGGTGTGTCATTGCATTATAATGTACATTACAATACCATTCTGATGGAATCTAATAGAATAACTGTACCTTACCTATCATTTCAATAAGCCACATGACATTGCAATAATCTTTGATAATCAGAAGGTATTGTAAGGACAGTCCTAATGACTCCACATCTATAATATATGTAAGTGAAGTGGCATTCCAAGCTGATCATTATCCCTTCACCATCATGCACTGCCATCCTTGCCCTTCAAGGTGTGTATCACTTCAATCCGTTGCAGAACCCACTAACTTCCCACTATTACTCACTATTAACCTGACATAATTGACAGACTACTGCTACCATGGGGCCATCTTGAAGGGCCCACTCAAAGTACAAATATTCTGAAAAGACTCTAGCAGGTCAGATATGCAAATATTGCAACAAGACATTCAAGCCACATGATTTCAAGAGGCATGAAGTGAGCTGCAGGAAACAAACTGAAGCCAAGCAAGAATGCAAATGATATGGCCAAGTTTTGGAGCAGTTTGAAAAAGGTGAGCATCATTCTACATCACCTGTCCTAAGTACCACTTCCCAATGGCTGCACCTGAGTCAGCACTAACACTGCAATGAAGAAAATGCATAATGCTCAGGGTCCACCTGCCAAAAATGCAGAACCTGACATGTTATATTCCCCTTCCAGTTTTGTTGCTGTTCCCAATGGGACAATGGCTGGCCCATCTATATACTCATTTGATGATGAAAGTAAGGCTTCCCTTCCCCTTCTTCTGCCAAATACACAACTGGCTTAGGAAATCCCATTGTCGATGCCCCACTGCATGAGTTTGTGGAACACAAATACCCTGCCAGTGCACATGAGAATGAACCTCTTGGAAGTCCAGGTGTGATCCTCAATTTAGTTTTTTCTATTTGATGATTACAAGGTATGCCTCTTTAGCACTATCAGATGCTATGATGGGCACAAGATTGTCGACTACTTCTCAATCCCAGCCATCATGCCCCCTGGCTATCACAGCAAGTAATAGAATTCAAAACTGAGTTTCATCCACACAGCAACCAGCCTCTGCTTTGTCAAAGTTTTGATCAAGTTCTGAAGGTGCTTGATGATGTTTGTTCCTCCAATAGATGAACACTCCCTACCGACCATTCTGTAGGTGTTGGTGACTTTGAGTTTATGGAGATTGCCCTGGAAGCAAGCCTAAATCAGAAGCAAGTTGACACTTTGTTAGATCTCATTGGCCATGTGTTGCAAAAGGGGCCACTCAGGGTGACTCTCAAGAATGACATTGAGTTTCACAAAGCCTAGTGATGCTGCAGTGCAGCAGAGCTCACACTGGTATGTTAGTACCATGTTCAGTTTACTAACTTTGCCTGTAACTGCTCCATCATACTTACAGTTCTCCAAACATACAGTCGTTGCAGCATATAAGAAGGAAGTGTGGACATACAAGGTACATACACAACCCATCTGGGAATGGGCACTTGACATTTTGGCTCTGCACTTCATTTGGGATGCACAATGCTTGTTCAAGCATGATGGACATGGATTTGAATGCTTCTATGATGAGCCCTGGATGGGCAACAGCTGGTGGGACATTCAAGTGCATACTTGTCATTGACTTGTTAGGTAGCAGTAATTTGATGTAACTACTAGTCCTCCTTGCCCAAAGTTCTGAATGCTGTACCATTTGCCTTTATTATTTATGCCAACAAAACCAAATTATCATCATTTGGCACTGCAAAGGGCTATCCTGTTGTGGTCCATTGTGCGAACCTCCTGGTAGAGATACAGAATAGCCATGCAATTGGGGGAGGCTGCATCTGTTGGATGGTTACCAGTTATACATTGTCCCAGTGCCCTGAAGTTCACACCTTTTATAAACAGATATTTCCTTTGCATGCAGGTCCCTGAGGATGCTGAAGAAGAGGGCAAATTAGGATACACAACTCTCAAGTGTGTTGTTTGGCATGAATCATTTTCTAGACTTCTCAGTGACATTATGCAGCACTCAAAAACTGGGTATATCCATATGTCAGCCATGACCAAGTAACCCATTGGTTGTTTCCTGTCATATTGATATTGTCTGCAGATTATGAGGAACAGTAAGCTTTCATTTATCCCAGCCCTTGCTCAAGACTCAAACACAATGCAGGTGTATGATGTCACTTATCTATGGCCACACTGGCAAATGCCCATGCCCAGTGTGTCTCATTCCATTAGAGGAGCTTCACAATATTTCCAAAACATATCTGCTTCATTCCATGGATGAGGCACAGTGTGCTGTGCACATTTACAGACACAGCCACACTGAGGGTGAAAAGGTGCTTAAGGCACTCAGGTTGCAGCCTGTCAATGTAAGTTTGTGATTCTTGTCCTTATTCTGGCATTGTACCTACATTAATTTAAATGACAGAATGTTTTCTGGCTCATCTGCAATTCTGACCTTTATGGCACACTCAGCTTTGACTGCCTACATTTTCTACATGGTGGTCTATGGGGAAAGCACATACTATGGGACATCTTGAGAATTCTGAATGTCCTTGGGTGCAATGCTGAAACCAATGTTGAGAACTAGTGAGTCTTCCTTCTGATACTTCATGCCACCACTTCCTGGGCTTTCCATAGTGTTTCCGACTTCCCCTGATGGTGGCTCCTCTTTCACTTCAAGAATGTCATCAATGTAACATTTTCAGATGGAAACAAGATGTGTGATCTGGCAAAAGTAAGTCTGGTTTTGTTTGCATTCTGTGTGCTTACTATTCTATGCTACAGGCAATGTTCTATGTGTTGCTGAATGTTTTTACCAGGACAGCCACACCCAAAGGCTATTGTCTTCTCTGTATCCTTGCAAGTTATCTCCAGCTGGACAGTTTGATAGGTTTGGACATGCATACTGAATGAACAATAGAAATGATCGATGCAGAGTTGCTGAAATTCAACAACAAATTGAAGGTATGCTGACTTTCCTCCATTGGCTCTGGATTGCATGTTGGCCTACACTAACTTCATTCCTAGGCATACATTGAATGTGTAAATAAATCTGGGTTAGAAGGGCTGCAGGTGGACTGGGACTTTCCAAAGGTGCACCTTTGGAAACATGTAGCATGTGATATCTGGACAAAGGGTGCCACCAGGAACTACAGCACACACCTGAATGAGAGTATGCATGGCCCTATCAAGGAGGCATATGAGTGTTGATCAAATGGCAGGGACTTCACTGATCAGGTATTGTTATTCATTTCAATTGTTCATTCAATGTTGCAACTCTGTTTTATATTCCACAGATCCTATGTGTGGACAAACATAAGCTTGCTGCCAAGCTGCTCAGAATGTGTGTTGATAGCTACAAAAACTGGACCCAAATGCAAGGTGAACCTGCAGGCACTGAGGGTGAATGCAATGACAATCAATCTGGATTGTTCACAGTGTTTGATCATGTCTATCTCAGTTCCTCTTCCAAACTGTCTACCATACAGGACATTGAGGCCAGTTGCAGTGTCTCCAACACTGCCTTTGTTGGTTTTCACAAGAAACTGTCAGGTTTTTGTAACCAGTGCCTCCCTCAATATGGCTATCAAGTTGATAAGTGGATCACTATCCCCACTCACTTCAAGGCAAGTGACCTTCTTATGAACTTCTTTAAACTAATGCCTGGCTTGTAGATAACAGAATACAGATACCTCAAAGTGAACTATGAGTCATCTGTTGATTGGAAAGTTGTTACTGACCACCTATGATGCAATCCATCATTCTATGGGCAGCCTCAGTATGATTGCACTCTCATTCAACTTGTGGAGACAGACACTGCATTTGTCCACCTCATTTCTATCTTCACCTGTGACATCCCAGGTGTTGGCTCTATTAGTCTCACATTCATACAGCTGCTGACAGCAAAAGTTGGTGGCACCCCTCAAATTTACATTGATCTCTGGCTTATCCACATCAAGGCTGCTCCTTGCAACAACCCCATATTCATTCCCATTCAATCCATTCTTCATGGTGCAGTGGTAGCTCCTGACCCTTCATGCCCTGGCAAGTTTTTTGTCATCAATCATATTGATGGAGATATGTTTCTTCACATGAAATCTTGAAAATAGTTGCTGAATGCGAGGATATTACAGACTCAATTCTGCTTCCTATTTGCTCCAAGCCTTTACTGCATGTAAACACATTCTTTATGATGCACTGATACAATGGCATTGTCATTGCACAGTTATCTGATATAAAGCTAAGTGTTTCCCTGCCCCATAGCATTAATGGTTATCTCATAGGACATGTCGAATGTTCAAGTACTGCTTGCACTAATTTACATGTGCATATTCTATCCATGCAGCACACAATGAGTGTTCTTACAGCATGCAACACATTGAAATGGTGGCAGCAATCATGCTAGTGACTCACTCTTGCAGCTTGGTTTTAGTTCCAGAATCAGACAGTGATGGGCATGATGCTTATAAAAGAGGTGAGATTCACATCTTGAACCTGGTGCCACATCCCTCTCAACCTCCCTGTCTTCACAACATTCCAGTGCCTTTTATTGTCATTCTCTTCCATCTGCTGTGCAAACACATCCCCCATGCCCCAGCTGAGTGATGATGATTTCTTCTCAAATGAGGAGATTAATATTGATAGAGAAGACAATGACTCTGACAATGATTCCTTGGAGACTGACAGCTCTGAAGCCAGTGACTTTGAACAGATGTGAAGGGTTTTACATGATCCAGGGCCAACTGCTGCTGTCCATGAGCTGTGAAAGGTGAGCATCGACTTGGTTCTTTCTTCACTCATGACTGATGCCACTTCACTCTGTTTCTTATTAGGCCCTTGCAATTGCTCAGAAAGCTTACACTGAGACACGTGTTGAACTATGCAGTGTACAAAAGGAGCTCCATAGTCTGTCTTCAACTCTTTCCACTCACAAGTGCAATTGTATTCTGAACAAGACTTCAGAAAGCCTGAGTATTGATGCCAGTATCTCTAAGGAAGTGAAGAGGTATGCCCTTCTTTACAATTTCTGGGTCCCAGATGGCCTTTTTCCACCAATGCCAAAGCTGGATGTTGATCTGCACAGCCCAACTCACTGGATGTTCATGTAGTCCCCAGCTCTCTCCATAAGCACATGGAGACCTATAAGCAGTTTGGATCTATTGTAAGTGCTTTCATGCTTTGACTAGCATTCAGCTCAGTTGATGATCTTAGTTTATGAGTGCTCTCAGTCAAGAATGGTCCAACATCCTGAGGGCTATTAAAGACTGTGCTGGCATTGTTTCCTCACCATATGGGCTTGACCCCACCTGCCTTTCTGGCCATCCTTTGGGAAGGAAGGAAGATCCCAAGTTTCAGGTTCTACTGAAGAAAGATGGTGTTGGCAAATACATGTGTCTTGCTCCAATTCTTTTCAAAAAGCATGACAACATGGTTGCTAGCAAGTTTCTTGTGAGTCTGGCTATCACCCTTGTATGTGCACTGTTATCTTGTGCATGATATGATGGCTGATCTCCACTTCACATAATTTGTGCCCTCATCAATGGCAAAGCAAGTCTCACCAACCACAAATGAGGACAGCCAAAAGTGAGGGGTCAGCATATAGGTATAAACAGTGCTACTAGTGGTTTGATATCCAGTGCAGCAACTTTGGTATTTATTTTATATATTTGCACAGAGGTACTTGGTGCTGATGACTACTACAGGCTCGTTTTCTAGTGTCTCCAGATTTAGAGCTCTCTTCCATCAGTGGGGAGACTTGCATTCCATACAACTCCGACTATGACCTCTATGTTGAAAAGCTTTCGAAGAAAAGCAATTGGGCTCTCCATGTTTTTGATCATGTGAATCATGAGGTGTTTGGTAAAGACTCACAGTCAAAGAATGTGTCATTAGTTCCTCCAGTTCCTCCAACTGCCCAGCCACATACTTGGGAAGATGAGATGTTGTCCAAAATTGAGAATCCTACACCTCATATCACAGCTCCTGCCTCTCCCACTGTCAACACATTTGTCAATCCTGCATTCCTGAATTCTCCTTCTGCTTTGCTGCAGGGCTTTGACATGGCTACCCACTCATCCTCATCCACTTCTAGCTGTCATGGAAACATGCTCTCTGTTTCCACAGTTTCTCAGCTACAACTTGAGGTTGGTCAGTTAAGTGTAAGTGGCACCTGTGCTACACCTCCACTGTCTTCAGCTTCAAGTCAACAAACCATGGCACCTACTTCTCACAGAAAGATCACCCCTGTACCCACCCAATAACAAGAATCCTCACATGCTGCTGAGGACAAAACAATTGTTGACCTGCCTGAACCCCTGAAACACACCATGCATAATACTACCCATGCTGGAAAGGTCTTGAAGACCAAGAAATAATGTCAATGCTTACGATCTTTTCATAGCAGTTGCTCCATTGTTCTTAGGCACTATTTTGCTTGTTGCATGTGGTCTCCAGCATAGTATTACACTGCCATGTTACTTTAAAATAGTCTACAGTCATGTATTATACAGATTGTTGTGCAACAATTGATTCTGTGGTTGAGCATGGACATGTCACTAAGCAATAACATTGAATTACTTTAAGTGCATTTAGCATGCCTTGTCAGCACCCATGTTCCTCCTCCCCTATTGAGATCTTCTACCAATGTGATGCTACCCAATGCTTTTGCCACACAAGGACTGTGTCTTACCCTTCACTTCATGTGACATGCACTGGTGTAGCACTACCATCCTCCCCTGGCCTGACATCAGGGTCCATATGGTTTCTTCCTCCCCCATCAAATTTTTCTCAAGCTGCATTGGTGTCAAGGGTTTTTGTCTTCTGACACAGCTGTTTCCAGGTTCAGATGATTGGAAAACCCCTTGTAAGTACTTGATGCACCATCTTCACTGTTAGAAATTGAAAACTCCCACTTACAACATTGCCTCAGGCTTGCCTTTCATGTCTGATGTTGGACCATTGGACCTCTGAGACTCCTTGAGATTGATGAGCTCCATCCCATCAATATACAGTTGTTGCCATATGATATTCACCACACCCATGCACAAAGTGACACCATGCCATACATACCAGAATTCTCTGCTGCTGTATGCTGATGATCTTGAGGCTCCTTCCTCTCCACTTCCTCATTACATGCTAGGTATGCTCACCACTGAACTTATGTCAAAAATGAAGTATGCTTGTGTTGTGTTGATATTCAGTATCCAGATCTGACTTTACAACTGCCTGCCTTCGCATTCCCCCAATCTCTTCATTTTTTGTTGTCACCTGGATCATTGTGGGTGCAGTTGTACTCTCTGCGATCTCCTTTCCTTTCCTTACTTGCTTTCTGTACCCAGCCGACTCTCTGTGACTTTCTGCACTGCACATGATTCATTCCACAGTCCCACTATACATGCTTTCGCCCAAGGGGGGACCCCCTCATCTTCCCACTCTCTGGTTTGCTGGTACTCAGTCTTCTCAGTCACATACTTCCCCCTATCTTCCTACTCCAGCATTCATTTCATCTCTTTTGCCCTCCCCACTTACTAAATCTGAGGACCACCCACAATGTGCCTGCCCCATTCCCTGTGATTGCAAACTCCATGATGTACTACAGAGATCATTGTGTAAGATCAAGGTGAAGTTCAACCAATCTCTTGTGGACCCTGGGGAGATGTATGGAACTCCTGCCACACAATCTATTGGTGAACCAGCTACTTGGATGACTCTTAACACCTTCCACTATGCCAGTGTATCCCACCAATATCAAAACACCCTCGCTTTCTGTGTACTTGGAGTGGGATATCACCCAGGACAGGATGTTGGCAAAGAACGTGTAGCAAGAGCTTGCTTGCACATTGCTTCAGACTGTCACTGCCACAGTCAAGACCCAGTATGACCCCCACCCTACATCCACCATTATTGAAGAAGACTCCACTGCACATTTGTTGAATCCTTCTTCACCATCCCAGATGAGGAAATTGAGTTGAAGCTCCACCTTCAGTCACCATGGCTCCTTCAATTGGTGCTTGATCATGCTAGAATGGTTGGTCAGAAACTAATTACTATGGCATATGTTGCCAGCCACATCACTGAGAGCTTTGAGATGCATCTCTTCACTACCCAGAGCATGCCTGGTGTTCACTGAGTATTCTTGTTGGAACATGACAAGATGTATGCCAATGATGAGGTGAGCATCAAGACAAGGAAAGAGTGGGCTTTGGAGACTGATGGTGTCAACTTGAAGGCAGTGATGTGCATTCCAGGTGTCAGCTTTAGTCCCACATACTTGAACAACTGCATTGAGAGCTTTGCCACACTTAGGGTTGAAGCTGTGTGTGCAACAATCATGAAGGAACTGCAAGGAGCCTTTGAATTTGATGGTTCATATGTCAATTACCACCACCTGGCATTGCCCTGCAACCTCCTGACCCATTGCAGAATGCTCATGGCAATCACTCATCATGGTATTAACTATCCTGATACTGGTGCCCTGATGTGTTGCTCATTTGAGGAAATGGTGGAGATTCTGATGGAAGCTGCTGCTGTTGGTGAAAATAATGATTGTCATGGTATCATGAAAGAGGTTATGTTTGGCCAGCTTGTGCCTATAGGTACAGGTGCCTTTGACATCACACTGGATATCAACATACTTAAAGACACCATCATTGATCATTGTCTGCTGGCACAAAATATTCTTACTGCTCACGTGGACTGCAGTATGACACCAAGCCAAGTAGTGATGATGCTATATGACACAGACTCCCCCACATGGTCAGAGAGTAACTTCAAGGGCGAGTCAGTGGCCCTCTCACCCCTTGCCATCAATAGCAAAGAAGATCCTGCCAACTTTTCATTCCTTGGATACAGGAAGAGTCCTTTGGGTGCAGGAGACATGTCACCTGCTGGCCCCCCTGGGTATAGTCTGAGCTCTCCCAATGCATACTTGCCTACATTGCCTTATGTCCCTCAATCTCCATACAGTGGAACGACCTCACCATTCGGTACATTGGTACATGTGACATCCCCATTCTATGACAGAAGCCAAGGGGCTACATCACCAACATACTTCCTGACATCACCTGCTCTCAATCTCATGTCTCCCTGTTATTCACCAACCAGTCCACGGTACAGTCTGCAACCACTTTCCTTCAGTCCCACATCTCTGCAGTACTCACCAACTGGCCCATCCTTTGTCTCCAAGATGTAACTCATGTTTATCTGTTAGTGAATGGGTCACTAACTTCATGCCAGATTCACCTAGTGCAACCTTTTATTTTTTTTCCTACTCACTCTACTGATCATTCCTTTTCTCATTGCCGCCTTCCCCCAGCTTGTAAGTAATTTAACTCAGTCATATCTGTAGTTATGTCACTCACAGCTCTGCAGCCCCTGCACAAATGACACCATTGTCTCCAAAATACTTACCCATGTCACCAGTGTCACCCTCCTTGCCCAAATATTCCAACTTCTCCAAGTTATTTTCTGGCCTGTGAGTTATTGATGATGTTGACCTCAGTTCCACCAGTATTGACTGCCAATTCTTTCACAGCTCCTGCCCAGTGTAAGTGTCTTCTGTATATTAGTGCAGTTGCAGTGGTTTATTCCTACCAGGTCCTGTTTCTCCTGCATATAGCCCAACATCTCCATAATGGTTGCCTTCGAAGCCTGCCCAAAATGGTACAACTCACCACAGGCTCTGATACAGTATGTCCCTGTTGTGGGGGTTGGGATTTTTCTTGTTTGCGCCTATGTCTCTTGCTGGACATCTCCCCAGGTGACTGGCACATATCTGCTAGTATGTTTTCATAGTCATACACCCCATGTAGATTACTGTACATCTTTATTATGCAAAATAGACAACAATAATGTTCATACTAAGTATTGAGCCAATTTATCTGTCAATGTAAGGTATTGAAACCCAGCTGATGGGAATTATTATATAATCCAATGAACTGTAAATACACAGCAACTTCCTTGCTTCCACACCCTTCCCATGACTGTTGTCATGGGTATCATCTGTACCACTGACTTGTCAGGCAGTTTCACCCATACCATTGCAGCAGTAAGTACCTGTCACCATCGCACTGTCAAGTTATTATTATTAACTGGCCCTTGTTAAATGTTGACAGTTCCCCACTGCCCCCAATGACGAAATGGAATCACCACTGACACTGATGATGACACCAACTTCCTTTCCCTTCAATCATCCCCAGTATTCCTATACCCAGCTGTTGTGCACACTTGTCACATTGCCAACCAACCCCCCATGCACTGGTCTGGGATTGCTATTCGTCTGACCTGCAGCGAGGTTTTGGCAGTGCAGGTATGTGGTCACCACTGCTTTAAGTTACCACAGCTCACTGACTTGACACCAATCAAACATGTCAGATTCCTCAAGTCCTACATGCTATGAACTCCTTATTCCCTGATAGATACCCTGCACCTACTCAGAATCGCTGCATCATCATTTTGTCCTCTTATATTAGCCTCAAGTTTAGGTACTATGACCTATATCCATGTGGTTAAGTATGCTGTAGTCAACACCATGCACACAGGTTTTTTTAAGAAAATGTCTTGGAATCACAATGAGAATGAAAGGATGAGAATGAGAAAAATGTTACATTGACCTGAGTTGACATTGGTAGAGTGGAAGGTAGCATTGTAATGATAAATATGAAATTATAATGAGTGTTGACATGTTGGCAGGTGCCAGTAGCCTGTCATAATCCCTTAGCATAGCTGCATACATTAAATAGCCTTTTAAGGGTGTTATAATGACAGTATGGCATGTTGATGGTGACAGAGCTCATCATAATGCCTTACAACACTCTCTCCTTAAATAGCCTTTTAAGGGAAATATAATGACTACATTGGGCAGTGATGATGAAACCTGCCATCATTCTTATGTCATTATAACATCATTTTCATAAGCTTTTCCACCATTAGCATGCATTAGAAGGCAGGGTGGGAAAGTGGGACCTTAACTTACATTGTAATGTCTCATGATGTGTGTGAAAAAGTTGGGACACAACAGACATGTTTGAAACCACACAGGACATATTTCTGGAGAGCATCGATGTGCTTGTCACTGAAGCAGTTGGCATATAAAAGCCCAGGATTGATAAGGGACAGATGGTGCAGAGTGAGGGATGGATACACACAAAAGATCTGGTCATGACTGACAAAATTCATTAAGGTGGTAGAGTGAAACTGGAAAAGAGGAGAGAATGCTGCAGAGGTTTTGGATACAATGACATCCATCATATGAATGCCATCAGAGAAGGTGTAGATGCTGGCAATCTTTGAGTAAGAATAGGTAGAATGATTAACAGCACCTTTAGACATGGAGGAGTAGCCATGGTTGTTTAGTAACCAGGTAAGGTAATGGAAGGTGCAAAGAGGCACATAAATGTCGAGGTCTGTAGGGTACCATGTAGTATAGCTGGCAGGCAACAGTAAATGGAGAGCACTAGAACTGGAGATGACAGTGTCACAAGAATGCAACATGTCCATTAGAATCTCAGGGTTGTGGAAGAAGCATGCAGCTAGAGCATGTATATGATGTTGCAAGTATTCACAGGTGATGACAGAGTTGTGTTGGGAAGTAGAGCCAAAGCAGGTGATGTCACAGGCATTGCAGAAACCAAGTATTTTATCCAATATTGTGATGTCTAAATTGTCTATAAAGGACATATCCATATTTGGGTGGGCAGGGTAGATGTGGCAACCAGTTCGAGGTGGGTGAACATTCTGAGGTTCACAAACAATCTTATATTTATATGAAATATGGTAAGGAGAAAGAAAGGGATGACCAGGGATAGGGATAAGGAGCAATGCTAGGAATGACTTGGAATAGGGAGGAAAAGGGGATGAGAAAGGGAGTGACCTCAACTATTATTAGTGTTTTTCAAGTGGGTTGATTGATTACAGTAGCATGTGTGCGATGTAAAGGAGGTTTACATCCTGGAGAGCGAGGCAACTTTAGGATGGATAGACACAGACATGAGACAGACAACATACTGAGACAGTAGAACAAGGATGTCTGGAAGATCATCTTCTGTGCACATGTTGATTGCCTTGCCATTTCTCAGGAGCCACACAAAGACATAAGTAGTATTCTTGTGATTGTGGTGATCACAGTCAGTGTCAAAGAATACATGGTAGTGTCAGTCCTTAATGTTGAATGATTTAGAAGTGATTACAGTGCCAGCTGGAAAGACAACTTGATCTTTGGTGATGCTGATATTGTAGTTTCTCTCAGGATGGATCCACATCATATGAGGACCTGGTGTTTTCCCCACTAGAAAGGTCCATATGACATAGGGAGCAGTGCATGGCAAGAAGTGTTTGTAACCACAGACAGTCATTTTTCTGTGAAGATTGAACATAAGTGCTAATAATGGACAGCAAAGATGCACAAAGCTAGGGAACAGACATGGACCTGAGAGTAATTTTGGAACAATGGTACTTGCAGAAAAGATATGAGAGGGGATTTATATGCTCTTCATCCCCCTTAAGATCGGCAATGCCCTTAAGAAATAGTACCATCAATGGATGTGTATAGGAGATGGAATTCTTGGGATCATATCAACAACCAACATCAGTTTAATCTGATCATGTGAATCCAATGAATTTACAGCAACACCCTAGTGCATTGTCTCATAATGCAAGATCAGCAATTTCTGTCTTGTTCTCGATTTGTTCTTTGTCAGTTTCAGGCCCATCCTGGAGTAGATATACTGCTTGAAGTTTGAACTGGGCCTGGAAGATGGACCAATGGCCACCAAGGTCTTTCTGTTGATAATGAATGAGGTGTGTTTCCAAAACCACTAGATCCCACTTTTTGAGATCAGTTGCCATGAACTTTCACATAGTGCTTTTGGCCTGTAAAATCTGGTGAGCATTGTATACAGAGTTGAAGAGAGTACTCTGTGAAGGATAAGGAGATAGTAGTAGAGAGAAAAGGCAACAACATATGCTTCCCCCATTCCTAGGACTCTGCCAATGCATGGCATGCACCAGTATGGTAGTCAAGTCATCAGACACAGCTGAGAGATGCTGTCAGAACCTGGCAATATCAAATCCAACAATCATACTTAGTGCTGGCATGGATAGGCCACATATTAGCTGATCTGTGTAGTGACCTACTGCATTGGAGAGTGGCAACACTGAGACAGAGCATTGGTTGTTGGGGGCACCATTCTTTAGGAACCAAACATGGGAGATGTGACCTGGAATCCATATAGTTATTCACTCATAGTTGATAGTGTTGCAAAGTTCTTTGCTATGGTTGTTGTAGGGATCTGCTCTGCCCCATGTCGCTGTCTGGGGAAGATGCCCGATCGCATATGTATTCACATGCTCATTGCAATATGATGATATTGCACAAATGCAGCTTCAAGATTCTGGTGAGATGTGAGGAAGTGACAAGAGGAGATATGTACTTCTGCAGAGCCTCAGAACAACCAGAAATGTGATCATCATCAATAAAGCAGCCAATTTCTGTGGGGACTATAGCCCCTATGGTCATGGCACTGGCAGTAGATGGAGCTTCTTTCAGTGGAATTTTGTTGGGCAGCTGTTGAACCATGTGTAAAATGTCTGGTTTTTCTGTGAGGTGCAGTCCAGTATTGATGTTCATTGCAGACAAGTGCACACTGTCGGCATTCTCGATGCTACTGAGAGTGTGCACAGATTCATCTGAACCATCCTCAGCCAAAGACAACACAGTCATGGCAGGTGAAGATAGTTCAGCATTTCCTTTCAATGTGTCAGCAGTCAGAGATGCTAGCATGATCACATCAGGTGAGACAGGAGCATGGGTTTGTTGGTGCAGGTTTGCTGCAGGGATGATAATAGTCTTGGGAACAACAGTTGAAGCCCCTGAATGCGTGCACTTTGCAGGAGGTTCTTTCATGTCTGGCAGGTTGCACTTGGGAGGCATTTTGTGGACAGGAAACAATGAATTACAATCAGACACCATACAGTTTATATATGCAGGAAAGAGAAAATAGGGTCCTTCTGAGGGGCACTCTTCCTAACACTACCTAATGCCGAGTTATTGAGAGTCCAACTGCCATGTAGACTCCTTTTCCTATCGTCATGGACTGCAGTTTTTACATGTCAGACATGGGACTCTCCATTACTGGTAGCTCAGGAGTCATGACAGGTGATTTGATCTCAGTATGGAGTGGGGAGGCAGTCTCTACTGTTGGCTTGGTAGTATGCATGCACTTGACTATATGAGTGTTGCTGTCTGGCATAGGAGCTGTGGGGATCTGAAGTAGATAGTAAGAAGAGCAAAATGCATAAGCCAAGAAGTTACTGATGAGGTTGGACCTCTTTTCCTGGAGGTGGAGAACTTGTTTACATGTCAAGAATACTGGTAAGCAGGCCATCTGAGATCAGGCATGCAAGATAATGAGGTTAAGTTCAGCATCAACTTCAATGAGATTACCTCCAGCAAGTGAAATTTCATGAATATGAGATATTACTCTGGCATTGTCCATTGCAAGTAATTCAATCACCCTGTTCCATTTCCATGGATATCCTGGCATTGCAGGCAAGTTGGGGCATTGGGAACTAAACATAGGACTTGTTGTCTGATGAGTTGTATCACTGTCAAGTCGCATGCCATCACACTGAGAAAAGCATCAGATATGTTGATAGTGATCAGCAATTGAATCACTTTAAAGAACACTTTACATTGCAAATATAGTCTGTGGTGGAACTGAATGGATCGCAATGGCAATTTCAAGGTATGGCTGGCAAAATTTGCTGCAAGATTGAGGTGGTCCAATTGGTTTTGCCATGCAATGGAACAGCCACCCAAAGACAGAGTCAGATGTTGCATTGCATACAATGCTTTATTTACATCACTGTAGGCCATGAAACATGAAATCTTCCAAGCAGGGAATCAGAGGACATTGTACATACCCATCCCAATCTCCAATGTCACCCAACATGAACTTCCCATGGAGGTAACCATAAATGTGGACCAATATCAGATACAGAATGGTTGTTTGCTCAGTTGCAGGTAGTGTTTTGTAGACAAGCATGTGTGAATGGGATTTATCTGTCAAAGCGGGATATCTAGCTACAGAAGCCCACTGTACCATGTGCTCAAGAGAGCATGGGAAGCATTCCTACTGTTGCAAGGAAGATACATCCATTTGGCTTTGGATGATAGATGAAATGTTCTCTGGCCACAAATTGGCTACTAGAGGATGTTTGGCAGACAGTAAGAAAGACATGATGTGCAGTTGGATTTTTGTAGAGAAGAGAGAGAGCAGCCCCTTATAAAAGTATTTTATACATTCGGAATACCCCTCAAATGATTCTACTTATGTACATGCAAATTAAATAGGGAGTGTGTGGACATGTTGGATGAGATAATTTGATGTTGTACAGGAGTCCAACATGGCAAGGCGATCCCACTCAAGATGGAGATCCTGTTGCAAATGCCCAAGAGTGCATCTTGGAGAGAAGGGGTGTAAGATAGTGACATTCTTGAGCGAGGTTGCTCAAGACAACATCACATATGCATGTTGCACACTCCTCATGCTTGTGAGGTCTACAATGACCTTGGAGAGTGATGCACCCTGAGCCTTGTAGTCAGTAAATGCCCATGTGGGAATCAGCAGGACCTGTCACTGTGTAAATCTGAATTGCCCTGCATGTTTTGGAGAATAAGTTATTGAACAGTTCTGAGGAAATATAGCTATGATGTGGTTGGCCTCACCAGGTAATGACAACATAGATGCCAGGATTTCAACATAGATGCCAGGATTTCAACATAGATACATCATGCCACATGTTTTTCATTGAAAGTTAGGAATACTATATCCTGAACAATACTGTGGGTTCCTTGATGACTTTACCAGTGACCAAGAGATTTTCTGTAATTAGAACAGGCATTCCAGGTAGGAGAGGTAGATGCCCAAGGTAGTCTTTAGATTCTTTAGAGCATACAAATGTGCGGTGGTCATTGTCAGTGCCAGTTACACACTCTCCTTGACAAAAGTGTTCTGTGTAATAAAAATTGAGTTCCTGCCCCAATGCAGATGTGAATGACAATGCCTTTTCTTCGTTCCATCGATCGCACAAATGCTGTTCACCAAAAATGATGAGAGCGCTGTGAAAGGTAGCAAAATCCTCTGCCATGTGCTTTTGCAAATGTGTCAGCTGCCTCGACTGTAACAGATTGAAATCAGAATACCTGTCAGAAGTCTTTGTGGATGCATTGCCAATCCTAACATGTCCAAGGAGATCAACAAAGGCAGGATCTGATTTCATGTGTTTGTTCTGAACCAACTGTACAATGTGTGATAAAGACCTCCATAGGAAGGCCCCAAACAGGCAACCCTGGCTCTTGATAGTTTCAAATGTGTAACTGGATAGATTTGACACAACACTATGTGAGTATAATGCTGTCCTGTTCACAGGCTTTAGTTGGCCCATATCACCTGCAAAAATGATGTGTACACCACTGAAGGGCTTGTCACATGCAGTAGGATCGCCTGCCTTTGCCAGTGACAGATGATTGGCAATATTGGCAAGCAGCTCAGCAGAAACCATTGATACTTTGTTGAACATGAGGTATTTGACACCATGCCAGGTATCCTGTAGTTCATCTAGATTGACATTATCTGGCTGTTTTTTAGGGGAACCACTCACTGTGGCATTCTTCCCTTCAAGTGCTCTGATGCTCATCAGCATTAATGCATGGATGGTGTAGCCATCAATGATGCACAGTGCACTACCTGTGGGTGTGCTCAAATGAATTTTGTCTTGATGATCACATGAGACAAATGCATCTACAATCACTCAGATAAGGTGACTCTTTCCTGACCCACCAATACTGGTGATGAACATAAGTAACTGCTCTGGATTGTCATGCATCATGTGTTTGAAGACAATTGTAAAAGTTTGTAGTTGTTCTGCATTATCCTGTAAATTCCATTTTCTTACGAGCACATAGAGAAGCTCTTCATGGGAAATGTTATCCAACACAGGCCTTGACTGCTGTGTATTATCATTGCTACTATTCTGTAGAATTTCTTCAATGGAAACATGTGCTTCCATGCAAGGTCATTTCAGCAGGGGGTCAGTTCTATGCACAAAACCACTTTCAATGCTAGATACCTTATCTGGTCATTTTCTTTTACTCTGCACGGACATGTAATTGTTGTGAACAGTCATGGCTTCTTCCATCTTAGCAGTAGCCTTGAAGATGTGGGAATTGTCAAAATCGCATTGAACCACTGTTGAACCCAAAGATCAGAATGTGTGAATCATGTGCATAATTTCTAGCTCATCTTCTGGAATGCAGTTGGTTAAGGTGTCATCCTCATCAAAGGGATGTAAGTTCTCCATCTCATTGTCCAACACCTGATCTAACTCATGATTGTGCAGCGGAGCATCACAAAGACAATCTATATTGACATCATTGGACACTGTTGGTACAAATCAACCAACTGTTAGATCAGGTCCTTGCACTTTGTATCTTGCTCTTTGACCATCTCTGGCATCCTTGCACTCCATTTCTATCAGGAAGTTGGATATTACTTGGGATGAACTGTCACTAAAATGGTATGCATCAAAAACTTCAGTCCAACATGGGAAATCATTGAGCAGCTCAGATGGTTTTTGCCAGGGTCTAAAAAGCAACAACATCACATGACTAAACTCCTCCATATTGATATCCAATTTGTGGGGCAACAGTATTGAATTGCCTATAAGAACAGGTATGACAAATTTGTTTTGCAAGCAAATATCATGAGACACAAACTGTAGGTGGGTGCTGTTTGTGAACAGTGCTCTCTGTCTTTGTGTATATGGTGTGCATTCAGTATTATGTAGCTGCCCATCGTCATCATCTATGTTTGGGTCTGACCCTTTACCAGTTTTTCTGACTTTTAATGTTCACTCAAAGAATTCCCATAAACACATTCAATCGAATGGCTCTTGCATGGGTCACATCAAGTAATCAATGGTATCTGAGACCACCAATATGGAGCCAGGGCTTGTAAAAGCCAAGCACATTTCTCCATATAAGTTATTGGGACAGTTGGGAAGACCATGATCAGGGCAAGTGCAGAAACCATCAACATGTTGCTCATGTGCATGAGCAATATCTATGAAATCATGAAAGTGAACTGTGCAGAATTGATGGCTTGTATAATAATCCCCTCCCCCTACCAGATGGCTCATTACTTGTTGATGAGATATCTCACACCTGCCCATCATGGCATTTACTGTCTTCATCAGAAGGTTTTTTTTGCATGCAGCTGCAGATGCATCAACATTGTTCATGAACCTCTGCATGACTTTCCATTGCTGCTTGAATGGCTTGTAAGCTGACATGTACCTGAAGATCTTTCTTCATAATGTAGTTGCAAACATAGTATGTCAATGCCTTTGCATCTGCCCCTGAGCCAACAAACTTGATATCCATGTGACATTGCATTAGATATATTACAATATCATTATAGTTATTGATGTGAGGATGACTGCATCTCAGCAAAATGGCCTTTGTATCATCATCAAGACTAGATGTAGTGCATGCAGAACCATTGATTTGCATGCAACAATTACCATCCCCTAGTTGCTTGCCTGCTCAAAGATGTTTGAAACATGTTGGCATGTGTTCATGCCAGTTACAGTACATTCAATGGCTAATCTATGCACAAATAGCTGAAATGCATTGGCAAAGGTGTTTGCATCATGATTGCTCAACTGGGGCACCTGCTCTAATTGGGGGTCAGATTCCTCTGTTCTGCACTGTGGCTTGTGTAATTGATTCAAATGCTGAGTATCATCTGTAAGCAGGTCACCAGGCAGTTCACATTTTATTAGATCTTCCAACCACATTATCACCTCATTTTGGAAAGACTCACTGTGTACCATTGATTTCTGGAGCTCATTGGGATTGGGATGCCCTTCCACCCACAGCAACATGTGCATGTGCAATGATCCTCTTCCCTGTGCTTCAACCATTGCATAATATCCATTACAATTTCCAAACAAGCCAGGCCCATTGTTAATCTTCACAATGGCATGCAGAAAAGCTGTCACAAGAACATCAAATGCTTTTGCAGCCACAGTGGGGTGTGATGCTATGAAAACTGCTTGTTTGTACAAAGTCATCGAATGCCATTGGCACTCATTGATACCTCTGAAATGGCCTACCAGGACATTGGTTAGATCATGTGGGTTTAATGTGATAAAGAATGCAGGTGTCCCCAATTTGCATATCAATGATCAAATCTCATTGCAATGGCAGAGTTTGTAACTGTCACTACCTGGCAGTGTTTGACAGATGACACTAAGTTCTCAGAACAAGGCTAGCATGCATTTTTCCTCTGTTGACTCCACTCTTGCATTAACATCATGATGCAGTTTCTCTGCCAACATGCACACCAAGGCCTCCTTCTCATGCAGCTCTTTTACAAGCATGTGGTGCTGGGCAGACAAAATACAAAATGTGGTATTCTCACTTGCTTTCCACTTTTGAATCACCTTGTTTACAAGGTCATTGCACTTCAAAATTTGTCACTCATTTTTCGACATCTGTGAACATTCCTCTTTACAAAGTCCAATTCAAATCATGTGGGTGAAGATTTGTTGGCATGCATTTATGTACTTGCATTTATGTACAATTGTAGCAAGCTCAAATGAAAAGGTGGTTAACTCACAGACAAAGATCAATTGATGGTGGCAGTGAATTGAAGGCATGTGCCCATGTATGGTTGCATGCCTAGACCATCCCCATTCATTTGTTCAAACTCCAAGCCAAAGGGTTTACATGCAGACAAAGACCAATCAATGGTGGCAGTGAATTGAAGGCATATATCTTTGTACTCTAGTTTGGTGCAAGTGCAATCTACATCACTTTGGCTCTTTCCAAGTCTAATGTCATCTTATGATTGAGAGCCACAAGCCTTTGGTCCTCTCGTTGCAGATATCCACTCAGATGTTGAGTCATTGATGCCAGTCCTTACAACATGTCCACCATTTGCAGTACTCTCACATATGCCAATGGCACTCATTACATTGATGTCATTGTCTTGAAGACATCAACTGCTATCTCCCCACTATTTCAATTCCACAGCACAGCAGTGATGAATTTCATCAGTGCTGACACCATCTTTTGTGAATATCCCAACCTGACATTCCATCACCATGTGCTGATCAACCCACATCCTATTTATTATGGCTCAATCAGCTTCAAAACCATGGCAGCCCTGCGGAAATACAGCACATGTGGTTCCGAGTTTGGCAGCTGCAAAGAGTATCATCATTTGCCTTACAGTTGCAGGTGTATGCCCTGCAATTTGACCAACAGTGGCTGTCTATGGCTTCAAATGTCTGATCTCCATCATGATGTCATGAAGCCCACTGACATCCTCAAGTGCTTGGGGGTCATCAATGTCATGTGGTTACTGGGTGGGTGCATATGCAGCACATATCCTGCCTTTCTGGATGGCTATTCATTTGTGTTCAACAATGACATGTGAGTACCCAATACTGACATTGCTGTGCATGCACTCATTATCTGAAGGGATCTTCTCTCTGATCAGTGTTTCATCAAAAGTGAGGAAACTTAGAAGATGGCCACCAAAAGCTCCAAGGAATAATAGCACATTGTTGAAGATTCATTTGCATATAACAGGGGGATGGAGTCGAGGCAAGGATGGCAGATGGGGTGTGTTTAGAGCATGGGTGGTGATGCTGACATGGCGAGAAAGGGGCGTGACCTCCAACAACACTGCAATGGAAATGTTAGACTGGTACAAATATTGATTGCTAGCTGTAAATTATGCGATTCAATGATGTGTCCATAAACAAGGTGCCTGCTGTCCCCAACGGCCCTATCCTCTAGTGATATTCCAACAGATAAATGCAAAGGTGGAATTGCGAGAAAAGGGTGAGTTCACTTGACACAATAAGTTTTTTACCTGCCACTCAAACAATACTCACTGCTCAGGTTGTTGTGCTGGATGATTAAATCCTCCAATCCCCAGGGATCCAAGTGTGGAGACAACATGGTAAGCAAACACAGTGAATTATTGTTCATAAGTGTTGATCCCATTCAACTGACTAAGAATTTTTTACTGCCAAGAGCATGCACAAGGGCTGCAGCCTTCATTGCATGATGTGGCCACTCCAAATGATCTCCTTGAGTGTAAGCAATGGTTTCCATAACCAAATCTACTGATAATTTTGTAGTAATATCTGTAGGCTACCTCAGTAGTGAACCAACTACTTATATATTAGATATACCTGTAGGCTACTACAGGATGTCAGTATAGTAGAATACTTGTAATATGAATGGACTTACCCTCAGTAGTGAACAAACTACTGAGGGAATACTAATAGGAAATACTACAAGTATGTGCGCTATTTCAGCATATGTAAGCAGCCAAAACATCGCACAGTGGTCAAGTACCACAGGGGCACTTTATGTTCCAACAAATTTCTCCCAATCCACATTGATGCCAGGATCAAATGTATCATGAGATGGAACATGTGCAATCTGAATGCCATGAAGAACACTGCTGTCATTATCCCCTTCCACAAGTGAGTTGAGGTTTTCATCACTAAGATGTATGCTGTTTGCACTATACCATTCATTGTTGTTAGATAACCATTCAATAAGACATTTCACCCTTGACTTCATAACAAGTACAGGCATGAAGGTGCACAAGGCTTCTACAGATGGTCTAAAAGCACCCCCTGTAAAGACAACACAGACTGACACATTTATATCATCCAAGCTCAGAGGGAGAATATTGTGCAGTGTGCCAGGGTCTTGTGGCAGGACAGCTACATTGCCTCTGTTAAAACCCTGGCTGGCTTCTTCTGGCAGTCGACCTCCCTGTACACTCCTGGTTTGGTAATGGTGAGTGATAATAGTTGCATGACACATCATGATTAACATAAGATCAAAGGGACTCACACTTTGGATCACTTCTCCCACATGAGGAGGCAGCTGTTCCTTGCTGTAGTACTGAAAATTGGCAATAGCATCTTTTGGCTGACATGTCTTTTTTGCAGTCAACATGTTGCAACATGTAGAGCACATGTGAAGATTCACCATCTCATGCAGGGATGTCATTCCATGTGGGGACAGAATAGCCCCATGATATATGGTGAGATTATAGCTTTGAGGGAGTATGTTTTCAGGTAACATATCATTATTCAGTAACAGTAGCATCTCTTTCATGGGCAGTACATCTGAAAGGTTGGTACAATTGTACATCTGTGTGCAGACAGCACACACTCCCTGATGTAGTTGATCTGCAGTTACCTTCATCTGCCACTCACAAATGATATCACACTTTTCCATGAATGTTTGTTTTGGAGGATAGGGACTGCAGACCCTCTTGTGTTCAGTTATCTTCTTTGTCTTAGGTCTGCTTGCCATTTTCAGCACTTTTGTATTTTCACCTTTGTCATTTCTGTTGGTAGACACACTTGCATCTGATACATGAGAAACCTGCATTGCTTTCTGAATCACTTCACTGCTGCATGGTTGTCTCAAACCCCGAAACATGTACTGTAGGGTGGCACATGCCTGAATACATTGATGCTGCCCAAGCATGTCCTTACACATATGTTGATTCCAGTGGCTCCAGAGAACCACACCATGATGATGGGCTATTTTTCTCAGGTCAGACACTGTGAAGAATGGAAAGTGATCCATGAGCTTGTGCAGTGCATCAGCAGAACATATTAATTTTGGGCCTGTCAGATATAAAGATACACAAGTCACATCATGCTGATAGGCAACAGCCTTGAATGCATATTCTCATCGAACAAACTTGTAGCTGATATGCTCGTCACTATCTGAATCTGTGACATCTACTAGCAAGTGACAAATGCCACTGTCTGTCATGATAAGCATGTGAATATTGTGGTAACAATGTGCCCCTCTCCTCTTCTTTCTTTACCCTGCCCCTCAGGGTTTATGTCATCATCACATGACCGGAGGTCCAGTCCATCATTACTTGTGAGCTTCGAAGGTGTTCCCAGACCTGGACTTAGACTGTGTCCAGGAATCCTTGGCACAATCAGCACATGTACACACTACATCCACTATGTGTAGCTATGCAGTACACTATGCACTCTATGCTAACTGCTCAGTTGTCTGCAGATGTGGCTAGCTGGCTGCCATACCTGAGCAAAGTTGTCATCTTCATGCTTGCCCTCAGATTGTCTTTCTTTCTCTTCTAGGGCATGACTACTGCATCAGGAAGCTTCCTGGTCATGATGTTCTCCACATACAGCCTGGAATGCATACTATGTATGTCTTTTGCATGTCTTGTAATCTGCCATGATTGATATACACTGCATACAGTGTGACATCAGAGAGGACATCATCATCAAGAATGCCAACCTCTTGATATCCCTGGGTTTAGTGGTGTGTATCTCCATAGCAGCACCACCCTCAGCACATATACTCAACTTGCACCTGTAGGATGTTGGATACAACTATGTTAATATCAATGACTGTTACTCTGAGAGACAGACTTATATGCTTAGGCCAATGACTTCTCATGAGTGGGAATCTGGAAACAAGCAACCCCACTAAACCTTATTATTCAGTGAGGGTGCATCTTGCTTGTTTCTGCTTCTTGTCTCTCACTTTTTGGGAGGATGATACTCTTCGATGACAGCTCCATGTTGGTACCTGATTTGTGTGAATAGGCGAAGCAGTTCTGGAATTGTTTGCACTTTTGTGGGAACAGTCACCCTTGAGGTCTTGTCACTGTATCTTGTCTGTCCATAGGCTGCTTCTCTTGCTTTTCACACCATATTGCTGAACTCTCTTTAGGGACACCTCATTCATCTAACCCTAAACAGTAGTTGTCAAGATATACCTGTTTTTGGTTAGAAGGGCTATGAGGCACCTTAGCATGTAACTTGGGATTGGGTGGTCAGATCTATGTGATTTCTCTTGGTGCATGTCTGTACAGGAGTTTCTCACCATCTCCCAGAGTTTTGCATCAATCTCCCCAGCTGCCATTGCTCAGTGGTCTGTCCTTCTCCCCATGCTGGTGTCTGTTGAGGTTGCTCACATTGTATCTTGCCTGTTCTGCTATCACACCTCTTGCTTTTTGGGAACCTTGTTCTACTCAATGAAGGCTTTTGAATGATGTATTATACATAATAGTAGCTGTGCATTCTGTTGGTGGAGACACCATCAGACAATTTGGCAGATATCCCAGGATTGAGTGTGCACATTCACTTGTGGTACAAGAGGGAGTGTTAATGGTTACAATTCAATGTTTGGCATTGTTTGTATACTGACAAATCATTTAATAGACCATGTGATATATTATGTAAGCATTAGTATCCACCCCACAGCATTTTAAACTTTGTTAAACTCAAAACTATGCAGACTGGGTTCAAACTCAAAAAACTGTCCCAATGAGTCACCACACCAAATGGGTCATACCTCCACCAGTTTTCACCTGGCCATCATCACCCAGGACTTGTTAGAAAGCCCAGACCATGGGCTTTACCCCCCACACTAACCATTTGGACCAGTTCTTAATCACTGACATGCTACACTCCCATCAGTCAAATTTGCACAAACATTGGGACAGTTTTTTGAGCCACTGTAGATGAAACAATGGAAGAGTCAGGTGATCCTGATGGAATCAATAGTCTTGTGGCAGGGTATGCACATTGCTGCTTTGGTAAGACCCTGATCAATGACCATGAGAATAGAATCACATCATTCATCTCCAGACATGGGGAGATCTGTGATCAGATCCATAGATATTTGTTGAAATGGGAAGGGGTTGTTTGGGACATTGTGGGGTGTTGGTGGTGGCCAGAGTGAGTGAGTTATCACCTTGGTTGTTTGACATACCAGGCACCTGTTTATGTAGTCTTTGATATCTTTCCACATTCCTTCCCACCATACTTCCTTTTTCATCTTTGCAAGCATTGCCTTGTGTCCTGGATGGCCAGTGCTCTTGTGATCATGATATGAGCACATGAAGTGCCTTCATTGTGATGATGGGATATACAGACAAGTTGTTCTGAAACATTTTGTTCCATCTTCATCCATGGTTATGTTACCAGGTGGTTTGGGACCTGTCAAATCCTTTGATGTTTCACTCTTGATGTGTTTGTACAGGTCTGCAGAGATTGTATATACACCCCTAGCTCCTTTGACCAGCTCCTCTAGTGGGCAAGCTTCAGGAGCCAAACTCTTCTTTTGTGGGTCCCTTGTTGGGCAAGAGTAAGGCTTCTGGCATGATTTTGAATGAGTGATCTGTGCTGGTAAGCATCCAACACAGGTGAGATGGTTGATTTTTTGTTGTTTTTGTTGTTTTGTAATTGAAAATGACAGTGAAACCAGATGAACTTGGGATTCCACCCCCTCTGAAAGCCAAAGGTTCTCTGGGAGAACTGTGGCAACAGGCAGTGGCTCCACAAAGTCATTCTTGCATGAGAGAGTATCTACTGGAACCTGCAGGTGACTGGCCTGCCATGAGAACTGGATTGGATAAGACTGGACTGTGGCAGCCCAACAAGCTTGGTGAGGAGTAAGCTGCTGAGGTTCCCTGTAATACTTGAGATTCCTGTGGTCAGTATGGACCACTGTGGGGGCAACTGGTGAAAGCAAGTAGGGGCAAAAGGCTTTGAGTGCTTGAATTACTGCAAGCATTTCCAGGTCATAAACCTGGTAGTGCTGTTCAGTGCCAACAAGGGACTGGGAAAGGTAAGAGCATGGTGCCACTCCCCATCATTGCCTTTCTGTGCTAGGACTACACCAGTTCCTAACTTGGAGGTGTTGGTGAACAATGTGAACAGCTTGGAGAAGTCAGGGATTTTAAGGATGGGGGAGGAGCATAATAAAGTCTTCAACCTTTTGAATGCAACATCACATTTGGGGGTCCTCTCATAGGGAGTTCCCTTCTTTGTAAGGTTGTGTAGTGGGCAAGAAACTGAAGAGAATGACAGGATGAACTTGCAGTAAAAGTTGCAGAACCCTAAGAAGTGACAAAGTCCCATGAAACTGTCAGGGGCTTCCCAAGTAGAAATGGCATTGGTTTTGGTTGGGGATGTTTCAACTCTTCCTTTTCTGATAATCATTCCTAAAAACTCCACTTGCTTATTTTAAGGTGGAGTTCTTCCTTTTCACAGATCTTCAGGAATTCATGTACACATTCCCAAAGTTCTTGAAGCATCTTCCCATGAATGATGACATCATCCATATAACCTACTTGTTTTCCTCTTTGATGTTTGAAGGTGTGATCCATGTACCTCTGGAAAGAAGGTGGTGAGTTACATTGTCTGAAGAACATCACCATTGGTTTGAAGAGTCCTCAAGGGGTAATGAATGCCCCTTTCCACTCATCTCCTTCTTTGACCCTAAGGTTAGTAGAACCCCAGTGAATGTCAAACTTGGCATAGTATCAAGATTCAACCAACTCATTGAACAAGGCCTGCACATTAGGTAATGGATGTGTGTCCTGGATGGTCCATGAGTTCAGGTACTGGTAATCTTGGATCAATTGTTTTTTGCCATCTTTTTTTGCAATGAAAAATACCAGTGCCACTTGTGGTGACATTGAAGGGAAAACCTTTTTACATTTTAAGTTTTCATCTAGGAATTCATCTAGAACTTGTAGTTCATCTGGGACATGGGATATACCACTGCCTTCTTGGGCTTGATCCCATCCTTCAGGCATATTTCATGGTCAAGACCAGGCCTATGTTTGGGCAGTGGAATGTTGTCCTTGGCAAATACCTTGGTGAATTCCTTGTACTGGTAGCTGAACTTCTTTACTAGAGGCAAACACCACTTCTAGTTCTGTAGACAATGTGGTTTTGTTAATTTTAGTATCCTCCTCATATATGTACTCATCATCCCAACAGGTAATCTTTTGTAGGTTAAAGAGCTACAGTGCAAACAGAGGAAGCTAGAAATAAAGGAGTGTAATTCAGCTTGAGTATGTCAAGACTGAGGTGTGTTCGAAAGACAAAAGCTAACACAAGTATGAGTGCATTACATAAAGCTGTGTTGCTGAATAATGAAGAACAGAATGTGCCACAACATAATCTTCCCTGTTTCCCAGTTCATGTGAGGTTTGAACTCCTTCAAGAAGGGCATCCCAAGGAGGATATTTTCCTTTCCCACTAAAGGGCCAACAAAACATTGGACTCATATGAGTTGATTCTTGATCTCCATCTTCAGGGTTACCTTGTGAGTTACCCATTCTTCATCTTTCCCAGTAAATGACATAGTTTCAAACTGGTTGGTGACCTTGTAGGTTTTGATTCCTAGCTTGTCAACAATTCTTTTCAAGATCAATGACACTTCAGCTCCAGAATTAATGCACACCATTATACCTGTGTTGTAGTCAGGCAAAATAACAAATCTGAGTGGCAAACAGATTCACATAGACATTTCATCATCAATAGAATACATTTAGCCAACAACACAGAAACAGGACTGACTGTAGCAGGTGATTCAGCAGTCTGGTTTAAAAACCTTTGAGCTTCTTTTCCTCAGTCATGGTGACCCAGTCTCCAATGAACATCTCTTTTGATCCATCATCTCCAACCACAATTCATACTTGTAAGCTCTTCTTCTTACAGTCACACTTGATGTGACTGACTTCTTGGCAATTGTAACATTTAATCTCCAAATGACAGATCTTCTGTCTTTGTTTATTGACATCCATTTTGTCAGGATCTCAGTGATTGCCACAGTAGGAAATGAACCTTCACTCATATTGTGATTCCTTTCCTTCCAGGATATGCTTCATAGTGATGGCTGTCCATGCTTCTCCTGTGAGTTGGATCCATTTGCTCACTGTAGAAGGTGTGCAACCTGAATTGAGAACTCAATTGTGCTATTCCTTGGAAAGCCCTTTTCTGAAGAAAATTCCTGCTTCACAAGACAACTCATGAAGATCTGCTTTATTCACCAAACCCATAAATTTGGCAATATAACTTTCTAGCTCCCTCCTTCCCTGCTGTATGTTCAACAATCATAGGATTGTGAGCACAGTTTGGTTGCCAGACTCAAATGTAGCCTAGAGTCATTCCATGAAACCTTGGAAGGTATCATAATAGTAAATGGTCAGCGAGCTTGTGTTCATTCTGATAATTTTCAGTGAAAGTTACCACTGCTCCCTTTGTCATGTATGTGAGTGTGAAGGAAATCTTGAGTGATTTGGTGTTGTACACATGCTTGTTTAGAGTGAGGTACCCTTGAATTTGTGTCAACTCAGTCCTTCAACTGTTTTTCAGTAGGGGCCCCACTTGGAAAGGGGTCTGATGGCACTATTACCACTGCATGGAACTCCACAGCCATGTGCTCTCATGTTTCTTCAAGCAACCACTCAACCTCTTCCTGGGCAAACTGCCACTGAGGCATTTCAGGTGCTGATTCTCCATGTCCTTGAGTCATGGACATACCAACATCTTGTTCTTCTTTAAGAACTGATCTGAACAAAGTATCAGACTTCTGAACTTCTTCTTCTGAACTCACCATGACCTTGGATTCTTGAAACCAAGACAGAAATGATAGTCTTGGGTTAGTAGCAGTGACTGAGGGTTCTCATC